ATATATATATATACATATATATATATATGTATATATATATAGTGTTGTTTGAGAAATATCCCTTTACAAAATATATATTTTCAATTGAGTAACTTGGCTAGATAGATATTTAATATCAAATTCAGTGAAAGCTATACTGTATTTAATATTAAAAACCAAACTTGACGTATAAGTATGCTCAAGATTATTGTATACTAGTACAGTCAATATTATCAATTGAGTAAGCTGTAACTTCCTCCTGGGTCAGAGGTAACTCCCCAGATCAGACACCCATCAAGGAGTCCATTAACAGTGTATTGATCCCACTTACATTAGCTGTCGTCTCATTGGTTAATGTCAACGACTTTACACTATGAATTTTATAGACTGAGTATCATATAACGTCGTGTGTGTAAATGGCAATTGTGAATGAAAATGCTGTTGACTGCTATTTGACTATACTTTGACTACTACTTGACAGTCTTCACTTCAAACAAACTTCTCGGAGGGAGAAACAAAATTTAACGAGTATTTAGCAGTGATCGCTGCATGGATGCCGAGAGGAGTTAACATTGATGGATTATTGCAACCTACCATCACTAATTGAAGGATTAACAAAGAGAAGCGAGATGCTGATAAATTAATAAACACTGCCTTGTAATAGCAGGCTATAACAAAGAGCATTAGTAGATACCGTGTGCATTGCAATAGAAGATGTCTGTATTTGCATATCAAAGTCCAGAGATCGTGGATTCCGATGCGAGTAACATTATGAAGCAAAACCTGATGTAGACTTTGTACTATCTGGGTACTTTTTTTTACTGGTGCAAGTTCATTCCCCCAAAAGTATATACTGGGTTGATTTATCATAATGGCAGCGGCCGTTCTTCCAGTTGTTGTTACCTGTATTTCTCTATGCCTTTCAGAATTTGGGAATCCTTGCAATGGGAAGGACTGCGAGTTTGGATCCGAGTGCATGCTGTCACAGGATGGCATTAGCGCCAAGTGCGTTTGTCCTCAGGAATGTGATATGTCAGATTATAACATTGTCTGTGGCAGTGATGGCGTAACCTATATGAACGAATGTGAACTCAACCGATATGGCTGTATGCAGAGGAAACATATCATGGTGGCCCGCCAAGGAGTATGCAGTAAGTAAAGAATTCTTTCTGTTTCCTCTAATATTGGTTCGATTGTCTTATTAATTTTTTTTTTTTATTACAGCTAATCAGTCCGTCTATGTTACAAAAACATTTGTTTTGTCTTAGCTGACATACCGTAAACCCCAAATAGAAGGCCTGGTCTTCTTTTTTTTGGCAAACTTTGGGTGGGCTTCTTTTTGAGATGGTTTTGAGGCTACTTTTGTAATGTAAAGAGGGGCTTTTCAAATGTATGTCTGTAAATTTTGAGAATTACTAAATAAACAATAAATAGGGCCACTGTAACGCCAATCTGCATCATGGAGTGAATTAATTGGCATTAAAGCACCTAAACTACTATATAAGCCAAGCATGTTTAAGTTTATTTTTTTTCTTTGAAATTCATGTACAATGTATGTACCATACTCAGTGCATGTACTTTACTATTTTGAAAAAAGTCCATGCTATCTTGAAAAGAAGCCAAAAGGATTTTACAGTCGGTATATATATGACTAGCTTGATCTTGTTTTTTTCTCATTCTCAGTTTGTTCTTATTTTCTTCTTCATTTAAGCAATTTCAGCTTTTGTGTTATATATAATGTAGCACAACTAATCTCTACCACTAGATCAGATACCAACATCGTGTTTTTATGAACCAACTCAATTCTGGTTTTCAATTTGATTTGTGATTTATATAGTAGTAAAGTTACTGACATGTCATGTCTGTTTGTTAAAGTTTAAAGATGGTAAACTTTTACAACTTTGTTTTGTTTTTCTTTAAACGTTATAACTAATCGAAACAACTGACACAATTGCATTTACTTATATTTTACAATGTGATTTTGTTTTATTGATTGCATATGATACATTGAAAATATGGGAAAATGGAAGATTAATCAAAGGCAATATATAATAATTAGGTAGGGTTCAGTATTCAAACCATAATCAAAGGTATTAGGTTCGAATCCCAGTTAGGAAAATAATTTTTTTCTCAACAATTTATAACTATACTAATTAATTGCAGATTTGTTGGTAGTTTCAACAAATGGGGCTTGTCATGCTAAAAGTAGCATCAGTAACCAAAACAAGAAAATTTACCTTTTAATGTTAATATTCTCCACATTAAAAGCTTTAAAATTATAGGTCATAGGTCATGGAATCAGCCAAATTTATAAGTAAAGGTATTACAGCTTCTCTTTACTAAAGTATACAATATATGCCATATTCCTTCACTAATTACTCAGTTTAACATTTAGCACCAGTATGCTGTTTTTGCCATGGCAAGCTTCTATGTGTAGAAAATTCATTTATTATTTTTAATCTTTGAATTTTTTGATCAATTATAGATCTGAAGTTTTTATTCGAATTTTAGAATAGTATCCAATATCATTTATTCCTTTGACAGTCAAATTATTCATTAAATAAGTTTTTACATCATGATTAAAAGTGAAAATTACCTAATTGCTAGGATTTTTGTAATAAAATTATATATATTTTTTAATACTTCACATAGAAAGTAGTATTTTGATACCCTATGAGAAAATTAAAACCTTGGCATTTAACTATTAAGTATTGAATCAAGTATGTTTGTATCTTACTGTACAATTGCATAGACTACACGTCTTTGTTGTGGTAGACAGTAAATTCAGACCTAATTAGAATTGACACCTCTATTAGAAATGTGACTCTGAATGTGTGATAATGTAGCTAAGCAATTTAGTATTACATTCTGTGAAAGAATATTTGAGGCTGGGTCATTAGCTACTGTAGCTGTGGTGGATCCAGGGGTTCAGTGGGTTCGGACACCTCCTCTCCCCCCCCCCCATGATGAAATATAAAAAGAAATACTGCAGTTGGCAGATTCCAGGGGGCCTGCATTACTTTTATATCAAAATTTAAGTCTGAAAGTACCATTTCGGGCCATCTACAGTAGAGGTGCCATAATCATAAATTTTATGAAGGGGTTTCTTTCTAAGGGGTCATCAAAATATTTTCGGCGGAGGGCCCCAGGAGCCCAATTTCTTTTAGTTATTTTCTGGCTCCTGATTCAAAGCGGATGGGAGGGAGATAGTCCCACTCATCCAACGAGGGCAGTAAAGCTCACAGCTTTACCGAAATAAAACTATGTTGTATTTGTAAAAACTATATCTCATAATATCAAAACATTCCATTGAATCTCTGAGGGTAAAATTACGCAGTTTGCATACAGTTTACGTAAGGAAGGATGCGGTAATGAATTTTGGATAGTACCTTTTTCCCCTGCGCACATGTAAATTTGGCACCCACCTGAAGTACAATAGTAAATCCCCTGCCCGAAGTAGTAAATCCTGCAACCCTTATCAGGTAGAATTCAAAAACGAAATGTTGTTATTACTTAATTAGTATTTATGAATTATATGGCATATAGAAATATTAATTGTTTTCTTTCCAAATTTTGATTGGCGCATTAAAAAGAGGTGAAAGCTGATCCAGATGACATTTACTGGTATATTTTTTTTATATAGTGCTTTTTAAAATGATTATATTTATGCTATTTAAAAAGCCCCGGATTTTGTAATGTTTCCTGTCTAATATGTTACTTAATATCGTTGCCTTTCCAATTGAGCAATTCTTGCTCAATTACGTCACGTTATTTCCCTTGAGTCTATTGATTTCAAAGAATGTAATCTAGGCTGGATAAGGATTTAACAAGAAATTTAATCAAGATTTTATGTGTATCTGTCAAAGATGATCAATTGAAGGCCTTCCATAATACAGATCTGAAATGTAGTAACTCAAACACCTGCAATTAATTAATTTAGTTTCTGTAATTCGTCACTGTAACAACAAAATGAAACCTTGAGAAGAATTTTCTAAATTCTCCACTTTTTCATTTCTTCCTATTTTCATTGATCTATATTCTATGTTTTATCATCGTAAGAAAAGGGTGGGGTCTCACTCCAATTATAGACCACTTTGGAGACTAGTGCCTTTAACAGCTTTGGTCTAATTATTATAATAAAGTTAAATAAAATTTTTTAATTTGGAACCACAGAAAAGTGATCTTTAATTTAAGGAAGACCTGTATTTAGTTACTGTAATTTTCTTATGTCACAAAAGCCCAAACAAATTGTAATTGTTCATGGAATGGTGGAAATTCCCAGTTGACGGAAGATGCACTGCAGCATTGCAAGTATTTACGACCTAGCCTACCTAGGTTAGGGCTAAAGGTTGCGACGGTTGTGGGGGTGCCGTACTCAAAATATAGTGGTATCCTTGTAGGATTCATCGCACTAGGCGTAGATCTAAACTTTGTGTTTCAAAGCCATATCTACTTTGTTAAGATTTCAATAATCATTCGTTTTTAAACTATAATAACAGCCAAAACCATATTGATCTGATTTACACGTAAATTATTTTAGTCAGCGTTAAAATGACTGCACAGAAAACATGAGAACCTAGAGAACATGAGAAACAACTTTGTAACTGCATTTGTTCCCATGCCAATTAATGGTATTTGAGACCATTTGACTTTTTGAAAGCAGTTATATATAATAAATAATTAATCATTCAACCACAAATGTATGACAGGAAATTTCAGTTCTAATTAAATGCCTATAAATTTTTCAAGCTAATTCTTGTACTCCTATAAATTTCAGTGTCCAATTAATACACTGTATATCAAAATTAGATATACCATAGTTCATCTAGTTTAATCCCAGCCCCTTCAGCACAGAATTGGCAATTGTTTTAATTTTTTTTTTGAGTGAAGGGAAGGGGTCGGCTTTTATCCAGAAATCCCCTTTTTACTCAAATGACAATTTTTTGACACTATATGCCTCAATCAAAGGCAATATTTGATATATTTTCAAAAAATAGAATCTTACCCTGGGTATTTTGCCTGTAGAAAGGCTGGTACGTTTAATAATTGGGCATAAAGTAAGGCGGTGGGCTTCTACCCGAGGTGGGCACAGAAGCAAACAAATTACACTCTAAAGTATTTAATGATGAAATTTAAAACAATATCATGTATTTACATATTATATGATATGTCGTAATATTCAAAATATGGCTTTATTCCTGCTGAATTTAGAAACGTTTCTTGTTTTTATATTGATTTAATTTTACGATTACAATTACGATAGAACTTTATTGTCACAACGGTATAAATACAGCTATGAGATATGGATCCTTAAATACACTCATATTAGTTAATATAGAAAAGTAATTAAAATACATAAAAGTTGCACAACAGAAATTGCTTAGAATTTTCTGAGTGTGATGGAAAGGCAAGTTGGAATTAAATTTCTTAAGCTCATGACAGGCAATGCATACCAAGTAATTGACAGGAATTTTTTTTTTAATTGAAATTTTTAATTATAAGTTAATAACTTTAAATATACAAATTGTTACTCAAATATGGAATTGATTTTTTAAGCTCCTAAATTTCCAAAATTTGCAATAAAAAAAAAATTCAATTACATCTGTTGTTTTTGCATGTTGTGAAGTAAGATCAAATTATGCATTGACATTGTTGTAATTATATACTAGTATTGTTAATTGTAATTTGTGATGTGTCTATAATTAGAATTTGAGGTGTTTTGGTGCATTAATTCGAAAACCTTGCAATAAGTTTAATAGAAATGACATTGCCGGCAACTATTAAAATTTAATACTGTTTTTCATCGGAATAGCATTGCAGACCCACTGCTACTTGGGGGTTCAGATTCGAAACTATCCACTAAGGTACTGGTCTGGTAGTTAAGATACCAGGTTAGTTATCTGAATTCCCACCCAAGTCTTCGATTCCCACCCAAATCACTTGCAAGAATTTTTCGCAAGTGTTTGGCAACGTACTGAGCATTCAGTGCAATAACACGTCAGGTAGGACAAAAAATTTATTGTATTGTTTTTTTTTCCTGAAAAGGCAAACCAAGACAAAACCTTCCTTAAAATGATACAAGCCTGATATAGTTATTCATTACCAACATCTAAAGGGAACAAAATTGTAATTAATTTAATCAATTTATTAATTTAAATTAAGTGTTAAAAATACAATAAAATAAACTATTAAACCTGCTTTTATGAAATGTTTAGCAGTCGGAACTTCACATGTTGGCTTTCAAGTATTATTATTAACCGTTCTACCAAGGCATAGAAATTCCCACCAAAATGTACATCATTCCCATCAACTGTATAATGAAACATGAACAAACTAAACATGGAATTTATTTTTAGATCACTGCTTCCCAGTTTTTTCCAGTCAGGGCCAGCGTTTGTGTTCTTGCGACCACTGCCAGCAAGCATAGGCCTGCAATAAAATTGTACAATGTTTGGAAAGGTTTAAACGTGGCACCTTGAGCAAACTCAAACAAACTTGTTAATTTATAGCTGTGGTAGATAATGTGTCTAGACGTGTTTTTTTTTTTCTTCCACAAACAAAAAGCAGATGACATATACGCTGCTGTGTTGTTTCAATAATATGATTATTGAGAAATTTACTGCAATGTAAGAACATAATACCTTTGAATATTAGTAAATATGAAATGTTAAGATCAGGCGATAATAATGATAAGACTCAACAGGCTAATAAACTTATAATTGAACAATAGGCATTCATTCACATGATGGATTTCTTTAGGTGATTGACACCCAAAGAATTAACTTATGGCCCTGTCACACCTTGATGATTTAGTCAGCATATGCCAAACGTATCAAAACTTCTCTAAAAAAGGTTGCGTACTCTGAACTATCGATGCTTTTTTTCAATTTTGGGTGCATTCATAGTGAATTCATAACGTATTGGACGTATAAATAACGTATCAATAAATTATATAGAACATTCTGATTACTTATAGAAAACTTACACGAACGAATGTTTAGCGATAGTCTACTCCATGCACAATGCGCGGCAGCGTGTCGCCGATTATTACGTGATGTAGCCTATAAAAAGGCTGCCGCTCGTCGATTCAAATCATAACCGCACTAAACATCGCAGTATCAACATCACCTTATGGACATCACCCCATTTCATATACCTAATCCCCTAAACACTGCCAATACGCCATTTATATAATAACCGTAAGTTAGAAACATGTTCAGTAAGTTTTGTGGTCGTCTAGAACTCGTCAAATACGTCTACATACGTTGGAGATAAATTTGTTATAAGTTACATGTAAGTTCGAAGCACGTTACTCATAGGTTAGAAATACCTTTTGACTTTTGAGTAACTTACAAGTAACATGTGTCAACGATCGCTTAACTTACCTACAACTTATGGCCTGCGTATGTAGAACGTACGAGCCACAGGCTGGCATACCTCGAAAAGTTTTGTGCATGCACAAAACTTTTTGATGTATTCGTCGTACTAGAACGTATACCAGCGTGCTTGAGCGTGCTCTGAACTTATACGAAACTTACTAATAAATTATTTGGCGTACGCCAGCGTATTCACCATTTTTTTCATACGTCAACATACGCTGGCTAAATCGTCAAGGTGTGACGGCCATTATATCAATGAACTTATTTTGTTTATTTCTGTTAATAATATAAATAAACTTTATTGCCTTCTATTTTAAAACACACCTGTATAGATCCCAGTCATTTGATTGGTTGATTTCGTACCACGTGATATTAGTTATTTTACCATTTCATCGCTCATTGTTGAAATTTTGTTCCACTGCATTTTTTTCCTATCCACATCATCCATTGCACGTTGCCTATGGACGAAATTACTTCAACCTAATACAATCTTTGGTTAAAAAGACGCAGGACTGACTATTTCCGGATGGTTGTAACTCCATGAAATGAAGTCACGCCACCTAAACCTTTCTCAAACCCACTTATTGCTGAACTTGTTTTAGTGAGTTACAATGTATCGGAGATTTTGTTTATTGAAAAACAGCTGTAAAGTATTTTAATTGTGTGGATGGTACCTCAAAAACTGAAAAAAAACTGGCACAAACTTATGCAAAATCTGTGGGGTATTCAGTTCTTATTTTCTGAAATGCGCTGACGGATTTCTAGTCTATGATTTGCGCGGAGGATAGGCCTATGCCAGGCTAGCGAGACCTAGGCCAAACCGATGTGTGTTATAAAACAAATAATGAATGTTTTGTGTTCGTACAAAATATACAGAATATTTTCAATCGTTCAACTTGGCTCCGCCTTGTTGAATGGAACAGTCAGTCTTTCAACGAATGAAAATATTCTTCCCCATTGCACTCATAAGCATTCATTATTTGTATACTATTAGACTAAATCCACACTATTACCATGATACTGTTCCTAAAAATCATATCACTTAATTATTCCCTTTGACATCATAGCCTGTTACAGTGATTGACTCTGGATGTCTGGATGCTAATATCCAAAATGTTAATTGCATGTAATTAAAGTTGTTTACATAGCGTACTAGTGCATTCTTTTTTTCCTTTTACTCGTTGATTTTGTACAAAGTTTTGGGATAAGGCATAAAAAAGGTATTAAGTAATAAATGTGGTGTAATTCTTGGGGGTTATTTTTCAATATTTATAATAAATGCATTTTAGGTGCCTACAGATTGCCTGTCTTTACAGGAATCGATTTCTACCTTTTGATAATTTTTGAACTGCTGGACCATGAAAACAATCTTTTTTTTTGTATTAAAATTAAAATATGCATTAAATATTTTGTAAATTTTAAAAATAATCTTTGGCCATGGAAATTGGCAACCAGGTTTAATTTTATCTAGTTGTTAGCCCTTTCAGTTAAAAGGGGAATATGATGGTTATTTTATAGTACATGGTTTTTTTGAAAAGCTATTTCAGTTTTTAAATTTGTGAATTTATGTATCAAAAAACAGAGAAAAAAACAAATGTATATTTATTTCCTATAGATCCTTGTAAAGGCTTTGAATGCAGCAGTGGAATATGTGGACTAGACGAAGATCGGTCGCCCTACTGCCGGTGCGATATCGAGTGCGATAAGGTGCCACAGGCGAAAGTATGTGGAAATGATTGGATTACGTACAATAGCACATGTGAGGTAGAAAAGGCCGCCTGTCTGTCAAATCAGGATATATTCACCATAAGTAATGGAGAATGTGATAGTAATAGTAAGTGTAAATGCCAATTATCAAATAATATCATACGTATTGATTTTAATAATACTTTCAGGGAATCATCCATTTTTGTCATTAATATTCATGAGACTACAATATGTACTCTTTTCAGTGATTCCTACTGCCTCCCAAAAGTGCATACCGTATATATTCTCACGTATAAAGCGATATGATTTTATAAAACAACCCCGAGTTTGAGAAGAGTTTTGCATGATTTTTTGTATATCGGCCATATAAGACGACTCCCGTGTGTCAAAGTCGTTTATTCATACTTTTTGCTGCTTTTATGGTCTCAATACTGCAGCATGTACCTAGCTAAACACTAAAGCCAAATGCAGGGCTAATCTTTCAAGAAATAACATTTTATGCTTTTTATATGTTTATCAAAATCTTACTTCCTCGCATTTAAAATTTCATTTATAGCAACAGTTAGCAGATTCATTTCAGTATTAACACGTGTTAAAGGTGATCTGCACATAAGAACAACATGTCAGTTTCAAGATCAAACACTTTTATGTGTTGCAAATTAGAAGTATAAGATGACCCCCTGTTTTTCAATCGTAATTTGCTATTTTTAAGTCTTTTCTTATACGCAAGTATAACGGTAATAAGATGACGATTTTTGTCATTTTGAGATCATCATTTTATTATTTTCATAAAAGAGTACTTGCTTTGTTAAGAACTTCCACTGGCGTATGTTTGTACTCCTGTAAAAAGTGAAACAAAAATGTATACAAGATACAAGATAAATTTTATTGTCTCCAATGAAAAGGAAGGAATTGCAAAGCCTGCAAAAAAAAGTACAATTAAAAAAAAAAAACCACATTAAAATTGATCAAGGATTACCTCTGAATATAAACAATGTTTTTTGAATGTGATTTTATTTCTAAAACATTCTATATGTTATCGATCTAACCGAAAGGTCCACTGATTATTCTCAGATAAGATAGTATAATACATATTTGGAGAATGTATTATACTATCTTATCATTATTATTTACTTCTTTTAACAAACAAAACTGATGCAGTTAATATCTACTGACCACATTTACGTAAATTATTTAAATTATTATTTAATTATATTTTTAGTCTGCATTTTTTCTAATATGTTAATTCTACAAATTTAAATTATATTTTGTGTGTCAATAACCCCATGTGTGAATAATATAATTGGAAAAATTATGGAATTTGTTTTTGTGGAATAGATTTTATAATTCCTTTATTTTATTAACTTTTAATAATTTATTTCCTAAATATTCCCCAGTTTCTTGATTGAGAAGAAGTGAAATTGTTTACATATCTTGTGAGTCATAAATATTGATTTTTCTCAAGCATCATTTAGCAAAGCCTTCGAACTGTTTTAGCGTGAACTTCTTAATCGAGTGAATTATTGCTTAAGATCAGATGTTCCATTGTCACAGCGAAACATCAGTGTTGAGTCCATCAACTCTTGTGGGCCATTACGTCATTAACTGCAGAACCCAACTCATTTGTATAATGTAATGTGTATAGACTCGCGTATAAGGCGACCCCAGTATAAACAACCCCCCAAGTTTGAGAAGATTTCTGGACGATTTTTTTGTGTTAGGTGTATAAGACGACCCTACCCCCCTCCCCTCCAGTTTCATCGTCGGAATTCCTATTTTTTCTGCATTTTATGGTCTTCATACTGCATCTAGCTGAATAGAAACAGAGCCAAATGTAGGACTAATCTTCGAAAATACCATTTTATGAGGTTTTAAATGTTCATAAAAATCTTATTTCCCCATATTCAAAATTGCATTCATTCATATTAACATTTAGTAGCTTCATTGCTGTAGTAAATTTGTGTGTTACGGATGATCCACACATAAGACAAACATGATTTAAAAATCATAGAATTCGTATGATTTATCTTAGTTTTATCGTGTTTGTTGTTGGTTGCTGCTGATTCTGGCACCATTGTTGTTACTACTATTTTTAATGATTGTTATTTATGTTTTTAATTTTTATTATTTAAGACAAGCCACACTTGTCACTCCCTGCAAAAAAAAAAAAAAAAAAAATAACAAAAACAAATTTTTAGTCATTAATAATACAGGGTTATACAATACAATGAAAGTTTAATAAAATAGAAATCAGACATTTTGTTTAATGAAGTTACAGGAGCTGTTTAAAGAACAGTACATGAGAAATGTTGATCTCCGAGATTTCTCAACCAGAGACCATCACCAAATCTTTAAAAAGTGTTGTTTTAATGTTGAAAAGGGAAAAATAAACAACGTAGCACATGTATATATAAAGGTTGATAGTTAAGTGCAATAGATTTTGGAAATATTCAGATTCCAGCATTATCTCTGAAACACGATTTGCGAAAGCAACTGCTTTGGATTGCCTTCAGCACTTATTATCTATGGTATTACATACAAATGCGGCCTTGCCAGTTTGTCTTTTGAGGACACAAAGCTTCAATCAAACAAAGCAATCGTCTTATTGTCCCAAAGCTTTGTAATTATAAAGGGTAGTAATCATGTGAAAAAAAAAACAAATTTAAAAGCTTTTTTCCAGTCTGAAGAAAAAACACAATATTTTGGCTGACAACCATCGACACAATTACGTAATGACCCCAACGCAATGGGGCACACTTGATGGATTGTTTTCAACGACTGTTCGATGAGCTGCCACCAACATTTAGCAGACAGCATCACGTCGTCAAGTGTTTACACGGAACGAGGATGGATTCGTCGACTGACAGTTGTCGCAGCGTGTGTTCCACCTTTTCATGGGCTTCCAGCCTATTCAGTAAGACTGCAGAAATACTATCCCGACATGTAAACTTAGTGCTAAATTTATATTTGCATCTGTCTATCAGCAAGGGTTTAATAAACCTTCAGTGGGATACCTAGACTGATTTTTTTTAAAAAACGAGCACCTACCTTATGAGTGATAAAATAAATTGCGTAGGATGTTTTTAAAGAATCATTAATAATTGAGCTTTTAAGTCGATATCAGACATAAAGTCAGACATACACACACACACCCACATACACCCACATACATACAACATGCATAAAGTTAACTAATTTCATGTAGTCTAACGTTTGATTTATGTCCAGGAATACTCATTAGTACTTTGACAAAATTATTACTCTTGTGGTTTCAAAATCCCATTATTGCTATAATCAGCCTATTATTGTTACAATGTTAATCCCTTATTTATGAGTTTCAAGCATATTTTATAAATGTCACGCTTGTTTTCATTATTTATATTAGTTTATTTTAAATCCATTATGTTTTTATAGCCTAATTACCAACTTTCTCTATTAGTACGAGTTAATGCCACATATTCAAACTGTGCATTCTAATATGTTAAATGGTTAAACCTCTTTGTGTCTACAAGTTCTTTACCAGTATATACAGTATATATTTATTTTAATACCAGCAAAATATATATTGAATAGGCCTGTGTTTATAATAATAATATTGTATATTGGTCATTACATACCTTTTACTGCCAATGTAATACATTATATACTTGTTTATATTAATTATTATATTTATTATTTTTATTATCTTATTTTGTATACAAACAAGTCCATTATGTCAATTTTACTACCATTTTACTGCTTTTAAAAAAATATAAAGGAATTATATAACATATGTATGCTGCCATCTCGAAACCAGCATTAGTTACCAAAATATGAAAATCTACTTTTAAATATATATTCTAAGATTCTCCACAAAGCTATATAATAAATTGTCAGTTATACTGGAATCAACTTAAGTATTATTATGTCATCTCTGTACAAAAGTATATAATGCTGCCACCTCCTTATGCAAATTACTCAGTTTAATATATAGTGACAGTACACTAGTTTTGTAATGGCATACCTCATATTTGATAGAAAAAAACTGATGACAGATATACTACTAAAATGATATTGAAAATTAACGGATAATTGTGTATTAAGTTATTGATGTTTATAGTTTCATTTGGTAATGGAGTATGTGCTTGTTCAGCAGAGCAAATATTCCCATCCTCCTCATCACTCACTCAGTGATGCGACATTAAAGTCCCCATCTGTTGCCCAACTGTTCTCCGGTGATTGACATAGGAGAAGTAGTTGGCTCTATTTCAAACATATTAAATTACATACTGTACAAAGTTTAACATTATATACATGTAAAAGTTCAACTTAGTGGGAAATTCACAAATGAGTGAATTCAGTTTATTTGTGCATGGAATGTTGATGATAGCAATAATGTTGATGAATACAAAATTGCAAGCAACAAAATTTTTAGAAAACTGACAAGATAAGGTGAACTTTATTGCCCAGTAGTGGATGGGGAGAGGGAGGGGTAGCTAGATAAACAGGCTGTTAGAAAATGTTGCCAAATTAATGTATTTATGATTCTTGTATGTTTTAATATACATTTTTATTGATTCAAGTCAAATATATATTTAAGTCCCTCTCCCACCTAGGTTGATTTCATCCAGGAGTCACACGAGTTCTCCAAGTTTAAAACTGTACGTGTTAGCCACAAGTGAGGTATGACCTTACAGAATTGGTTACGAGTTATGTACAAATTATGCCGAGCGAAGCAGAGAGTTTACTACGAGCTTTACGGGATTATTACGAGTGTAACAAGTTTTTACTGAACTAGATACGAGTTAAGTACGAGCGTTCCAATCAAATGTTCCCGGTGATCGTAACCAACTCGGTGCGCCAATGCGTATCTTGAGTAATGTACGAGTTAGGTAGGAGTACCCCGAGTACTCTACGAGTTACCTATGGGTTCTTCGAATTTACTACGAGTAGTCAACTAGTAGCATTCATTTTAAACATGTTCAAAATTAGAGTTCAGAGCTGCTACGAGTAGGTACGAGTTCTCCCCGAGCTTCCAGACTTATCCTACAATTTTATGCCAAGTTAACAACTCGGCAAATTCTTCTATCTAGTATGCTGAAAAAACCCTAGTGGGAGACAGGCTTAAGTTAATTATTTATGAAATATTTGTATTTTTACATTCATTATTAAAAAACATGTCATAAAATCATAAAAGTATTTTAATACATTGATATGAATGATGATTGTACATTACATAAGATATGATTTGTGTCTAATAAAAGTGTTTGATATTGGCATTTCCCTTTTTGGATGTTTCTTTTTTTTCATAATGTAGCTGCAACCTAGAAATAGATTTATTTTTCTTGCCTTGGAATGGCCGCTGTAGTCGTTCACTTAATACAACAATTATGCAGCAATAGGGCACAGCATTCAATGTTCTTGACCTTTGGTTATTATCATTACTGTTAATTATAGCATGAATACTAAATGGCAATACATCTCTTGACACAACTCATTATGCAGATATTAATTGACTAATTTATTCATGTCTTTAGATCTATTGATTATTCAGTCTGTTCCTGAACATTGAAATGCATCCCTGTGGGACTCGGCGAAAATTAATTTCTTTATTGTCTATAGTAGCACCTGCTCTCGAAATATCAACACTTGCTCCTCTATTGTCAACCATGATTTTTATCAACAGCACGATCGTTAATAATCAATACATTCAGCCGTATTAGATATGAGACTGTATTATTTTGACAACGTATGTAATTTATGGTTAAGCATGAATGTTTGCTTAAATTTATTTCAGGAATTTTTTTTAATGCATTTTGAAGTGGACATTTGATAATTGAATGTGTGCAGAGAGACAAGAATTCCTAGGCTTTCTCTTTACCCCTCCAATAGTCAATTGTGTTTATTGTGTCTACAGCCCCAGGGGGGTAGCTGACACTTTGTTGGCGTCTGGCAGTTGACCTTGTAAGTGTGAATCCGGTAGAGTAAATCTGGTCAAGGAATGATGGGATGGGTCATGATCTAAAGATAAAAATGAAAAATCTATGAAATATGCCATGCTACTTTAAATAAGACCTAGTTACAGCAAGTTATCAATTGCATTGACAACACAGAAAGCTGCTAGATAAGACCTGTCCTAGAAAATTCACTAAAAAGTCACAACAATCTGGTATATATTTGTACAACTAGAAATTGCAAATTGCAAGTGAAATGCTGCGAAGTACAACTGCATAAAATGTTCTTCGAACAAAATTATTTATGCGAGTCAAGTGAAAATAATGAATAATATAAAAATATAACAAATAATATGAGCACGACCCATTGTCTATATATTATTAGAACAGCGTTGGTACAATAGTGTTTTGCTGCAGTGACATCTCTCTGCTGGCAATGGCTCGCTGCTGCTGGCGATGACTCGCTGCTGGCGAATCGATCTGCGCATGTGTATAAAATGGTATTTATTTCCGCAAACACTATCCCCTGTCTCTTATACACATCTAGATGTGTATAAGAGACAGGGGCACAGCATTCAATGTTCTTGACCTTTGGTTATTATCATTACTGTTAATTATAGCATGAATACTAAATGGCAATACGGTCAAATTGCTGTCAAGAATATGAATTGGCTGCTTCGCAGCAATTATTATACAAATAAAAGCAAATAGCATGGATGGGTTAAAAGGAGCTTCTTCCACACATTTATGTTCTCTTTTTAATATTATATTTTTCCTCCACTTTTTTATTTTGGCAAAATGGCTAAGTTGTAGCAAAAATTGAAATTCAAGTTATTGGTATTTTCAGATACCTGAGTATGTGATCTTTAAAATGAGAGGTCATTCATTCAAATTGGACATTTCAAGTCTAAGTCATTGGAAAGTGAAAGTACTGTACAGTACTCTTAGAGTCAAGATAAACATGATTTTGAGTAATTGCCTTTCAAAGTTATTTGTGATACATTGTTTAATAGATTGAACTATGAACAATAACATTAAATAAACAATTTGTTAGCCACTTCCTGAACTAATACTTTGGGACATGATTAACAAGACATTAAACTGTTGATCTATAGTGAAAAACAAATTTGGATTTTTAGGCAATTTTTTGAGCTCCCATATTTTATAGCTCAATTACTCAATACTGAACTGTGCGACAACTTAACCATTTCGCCACAACATGCCTCAAATACCATTGCCACTTTCTGTTTTTTTCACTTCCATTTTTGTCTTGTATTTCTTTCACCATTGTATCCTACCTACATTTCTTTCCAATTACCGATAATAATAAAAATTTAAAATAATAACAATTTGCCATTCTTATTGCAAATATTGTGATGGACGAATTTTTGTGTTTAATGCCGGGCACTTGCTGTGTCATGACAGTCGTACACCGTCTACGATGAATCCAACTCCAGTCCCTGTCGGCGCTAGCCAACACTACACGTTCTGCTTACTGTCAGTGACAATCTGAACGGATAGTCATTAAAAATGATCCATTGCGTGCATATCGTGGCGTTGCGTTCACTGTAGATTTGCGTTGGCCTACAACCATTGGGCGCAGTCAGTGCCCGACTACATTAAAGGGTCGATGTTAACTTTAGCCGAACTAAACTTAATAAACTTTCCTAAACAGTCATTTCTTTTCGCATTATTACCATATTCTTCCTTTTTTGCTGTTTATTTTTATTCCATAAAGTGTGTACGTCATATTTTTTTAAAAGATACATTATGCTTTTATTTGATAGCCTGTGTGCTTTGATTTCAGATCCCTGTTCAAATTGGGTGTGTCCCCTCGGCCCATGTATCGTGAGTTCGAGCGGTGAACCGACGTGCATTTGTCCAGTCTGTTTGGATATATATGAGCCTGTATGTGGCACCAATGATATCACCTACGCCAGCAAATGTCACTTTAAGAAAGCCCGCTGTGAAAATGCTATTGAGATGGCCATAAAATATGAAGGCCCATGTGGTAAGTAGGCCTAAAGTCGTGTTTGCCTTCCCAATCACATGGGTACTGCTGCACTGAAAACACTGTAGCGACAGTGCAGTGATTTTAAGAATAAATTTAACAAACTTATTCCAACTTTATGCAAGGGATAATCATTTTTGGTAGTTGGGTACTTTCTATTATTAACAGTTATTGATTAGTTTATCTGTTTACTTTTTTTAAAGACACCATAGCATGCACATGACAATAGCTGCAATCTTATCAGAAAGTATTTTATTTTCTCTGGAAGCATTAACGTTTACTAAACTATTTTATCTCATAGGAGATCTATTTTGTATAGAATAAGTATAATGAACTTTAGTAAAAGCACCCAAAAATATATGAATGCTGGCTCTTAACATTTTTTTCTAGAATCCCTATATACAGAGTTCCATTCAGAGTTTTGAATTGACACCCCTCCCCCACCACCCTATTGCACAAACTAAAAAGGGTTTGTATAATCCATTTAATGTACTATTAACATGTTTAAATAAGTAATTGTCATCTAAATCAAATTTCCAAAAGTACAAATATAGTAAATCTTGAACCTTGTATTTCTCAGAATACAAAGAATATTATTTATTCGGGTATAAATCTGTGTTGAAAGAAATGCGACCAAATTACTACCGAATTTGCATTTAGATAGAGTTCCAATGGAAAATGTGTAATATAGTCAATTTAATTCTCACTGGCTTTGGTCCGATTCATTTCACAATTGACAATCATGTACAGTTACGCACTCTTCAATTTTGTCTGAATTGTTTATATATGTGTTTTAATGTACTATAAGTGATAGTTAAACAAAATACAATTATTTAATTATTTTAAATATTCCTTAAAAGAATAGGTTTTGTACTTTATTGCTCTTTTTATGTAATTGATCCCTTTCACTTTATTGTGAAGAAACATTTAAAAATGTAGACCAAAATTACTAGTTTGTTGTGTCCTGCGCATCCATTTTCTCTGCCTCACCATTTTTTTTAAAATTTCCTTTATTTTACGAAATGTACGAAACAGATTTAATGTATGTACATCGTTAAAAACTTGTATCAGTAAAACTTTTTCGTGGTTGGGGATACATATGGTATGAATCATGTCTAGTGCTTCTTTTAGTTGCTTTCAATGAGTCTGCTTGGTGAAAGTGACAAAGTACTGTAGTAGCCACGTTTCCCATCGACCATCTTGGATTTGCCATCTTAGAGTAAAAAACAATAAAGAGAGCAGCTTTGCTCAGTCGCCTAATCTGGCGGTAGCCACTGTGTGTGATCTCTTGGTCCCCGGTTCAATTCCCATCGCTGCCTCCCATGGCTGAAATACAAGTTACAATAGTGCACTGATTAAGATGTTTAAGCCGTTGGTCCCATGTGCATTTATGACCCATGTGCACGTTAAAGAACGCAGTACACTCTTCAAAAAATAGTAGGGGATTGTCTCCCGGTGTACTGCCCAATCACCACCAGAAGGATCCCACTGGGGGTCTTCTAGACTTTCGTGGGCTATCCTTGGTGTTTACATCGAATAAATCAAATTTCTATTATAAAGGTGCCCTTATTCTGTTTTTCAAAATATTAAGATGAGAAACTAATTTTTTTTTTAACTTGGCCTTAAATTTGGTCACAAATTGTGGCCTGAAGGCCATATTGCCTGCGAGTCTAAAAGTGGACTGTATTTTTTTATAATAACTTTTTTTTTAAAATGATATCAATATTTCTATATTTGAAGCGAGTTCTGAAGCGTCTATCTGCGAAGAACACATCTGTGACTTTGGTGGGTACTGTGCTATAGATGGCAGCAAACCGGTTTGCAAATGTGATATGATGTGTCCTGATGTGTATGAGCCGGTGTGCGGAAGTGATGACATGTCCTACAGCAGTCAGTGTGCCCTCAGGCAGTCGAGCTGCGAACAGAAAACCCATATTAACATCGCATATGAAGGCTTATGTGGTAAGGAGAGACTGGTTCAATTCAAATTCAAATTATTTGAATCACTTTTGAGGCAGTGACACACAAGTACTCAATGCATCCAAGTTAACCAAAAATAAAACATCAGAAATATATACAATGCACAATAATTTTCTGAACACATATTCTAATGCACATTTCCTAACCTGAAAAGGCAAGGCCCAATCGACTAATTCAAATTTCTGTCTATATATTTATTTTTTTACATGTTCTTTATATTGGCATGCTAAGTAAGGGATTACAGTTTTTCCCTAGACCACGTTTAAAAAAAAAACACATTTTATTTAGAACAACAAAATTCCACATTCAGTGAAATTCTCTTATATCTCGAGTAGAATGACTTCTATCAGGGGAGTCAACCAGTGGTAATGATGATGGTCAATACCATAACATTACCTACTCTTTTTCCAAAAGTGTACGCTTATTAGGCTTCTGTGCACATAACAAATTCCTTTTTAAAAAAAATGTGTATTTGTGGAACATAAACCTTGGTTCACCAACTGAAATAATGAGAGATAAATTTGAACCAAGGACACAGCTCTGCGCATTCAGTCTAGCCACCTGATCTATGCTAATTATTAGCAAATTATTATGCTAGACATATTGAGATTGCAAAATTTGGAAGTATACTAGCCTGTGAAACACAAATCCAAAGATTGGCACAAAATACAATAATTTTATGGTAGCTGTTACCAATTGTACAGTTTAAAAGATTTCCATTTGTAATGGTAAAAGAAAGTTTTAGTAAGTTTGGTAATTAAATAGCTTTTAAAATAATGTTGAAGGTCGAGTAGTTTTTAATTGCTCCTTTTATTCAAATTTTCTTTTTCATGGGATTTTTTTCAATTTGGCAAATTATTACATTAGTTTACATCATTTTAGTATGTTTGTTATTCACGCTTGAAAGATCCTTTAATGCACTTTATAAAAATAATCACAAATCACTACATTAGAAAAGCACTTTTACAGTCTGTTTCTTTATGATGTACCACCTTGCAGTTCATAAATGGAACATTCCTCTCATCCTTTAGATAGCACTTATAGACCTAACTGTTTCCTTTCAGAGGGGTGTGAGGATGTTAATTGCCCGTTCGGTGGTATCTGCGAGATGACAATAAACGGGGCTGTTTGTGTTTGTCCAGAAGGCTGCGTGAATGTCAATGCTGCAGTGTGTGGTTCCGACGGGGTTACGTACAGCAATGAATGCGATTTACGCGTTCAGGTTTGCAAAACAATGTCAGATATAAGTGTGGTTTCTCAAGGCAAGTGTGGTAAGTATGGGCACAATCAGTTGCATCCACTTTTAATAGGAAGCTTTCGTTTTAGCGCGACGACGCAACAGAATCACTCATGCGTGACCATCCTACCGGGCACATGCACAGAAGACATAATGTTACATCAGTGCACATAACTTTCCTTCATATGCATCTAGTTCATGATATATTTTTATATTTATATGAAATATGTTTTGTTTTATGTCCGAATTAAGTTTAGTATTAATGTTATAAAATGTCCTGTATTTGGTTTTTATTTAGATCCATTTTGAAAAAATTGGTGTAAATTATTATACACTATGAGATTTTAAGTTTAAATATACTGTTATTCTTGAAGTTAGGAAATATTTTCTGTTTATACACACATATCCAGGTGCGGATTTAGGGGCCCTTTTGAAAGGTTAAAAAAAAAAAAAAAAAAAGAAAGAAAGAAAAAATAATTGATCGTCCAAAATGCCTCAGAGGTTATTTTTGGGTATCTAGAACACAAAAGTTTTGAAGGGAAATGCCCCCGGATCCCCTAGAGGGTAGTATTATCTCGATTGGTCCCACTTTCTGCCCCTCCCTCCCCCTATTTTTTTGGACATCTCTGGATCTGCCTCCTGATATCAGTGGACATTTCTGGAGTGTCAATCAAACTTAACTGGCCAATCAGGACAGGGCCAGGAATATGTGCGTATCTCACAAACATACCTGCTGTTCACAAACACACGTATTTGCGTATATGTTTTTACCATTTTTGGAACCTGACAAAACATGTAAGGGGCGGGGTTTTGCAGGAAGGTCCATTCATGCGAATTTAGCACTACATTCCTACAACAACGACAATTTATTAGAATTTGCTAATATATTCAAATATTTGTATTTAATTTTTTTAATTTAATAATTTCAGTTTAATGTTAGCTTTGTATTTTTATCATGATTATTTTTATTATTACTGGATGTTCCAAAGTCATGTATAATATAGTATCTCGTATTGCTTTTGACAATCACTCATAGTTTAAATTTTTTATAGAAAAAAATATTTATTTTCTAATTATAGATGAATGTGAGGATGTGACCTGCGAGTTTGGAGCATTCTGCGATCGTGGTCAGTGTCAGTGTCCCGCATCATGTCCCCTAGACTACGACCCAGTATGTGGGGATGATGGCAAGACATACAGTAACGATTGTTCACTGCGAGCAGCGATGTGCGAAACCAAGAAAAATATCACCAAGGAATTTGACGGAACATGTGAATATGGTACGTGTGTCATTTTGGCGATAAATAGTGAGCTTTCGATTTGCGAGATGACGTATCACTAGAACTGTTCACTCATTTGTGGCCATCCCACTTTCTTTGCACAACGTATATTCCAGCCGGATTACATTGTAGAATCTAGGCAACAATGAGAACTCAACGTTCTCACATGCATAGATGACTTTTCAGTACCGTTAAATTTTCTAGGTCCCTCCAATCCAAAAAGCTTCCTAACATTTATTGCACAACTATAAAAATTGAAATATCAAATATCCTTTTTCAAGTTGAATCAATAATTTTAAAAAAATATTACGGAAATCTTGTATGCATTTATTCTTTAGAATCTGGCTCGGGCGATGATGAAGACAATGGTTTTGGTATTTATCAAACCAAATAATTTATTTGCAATGTTTTATTGTAGAATTCTTGCTTGTATTTTCTTGGCTACACAAATGCACACAACAGTACGATACATTTTTTACAAGTCTCTAAGACACTTCACTTCAAAGACAAAATATGCAAAAACAAAGGATTAAAAATATAAACTACCTGCAGTTTTGTTTACCCGGATACCCTAAGAATTTATAAAGGTCTCAAAACTTCCTCAATTGGTGGGAGTATCCCAGAAATCTAGGCGGCTTCCCACACTTCCGTTAGTATGCATACCGTAAGTGTCACAAAAAACTAACTAGTTTCCCCCAACATTCCTAAGCGGCTTAGCTGAGTCGGCTAAACTGGTCGTAGCCACTGTGTGTGCGCTGAACCTGAGGAGATCTCTTGCTCCCCGATTCAATTTCCATCACTGCTCTCCTTATATTTCAGCTGGAGGGCTGAAATGCATGGTAAGTCAGTGCACCATCCATTGAATGAGACGTTTAAACTGTTAAATAATGCAATGCACTCTTCCAAGAAGAGTGCATGTTTTTTCCTGCTGCATTATCAATTGTCTCCTTGAACTCAACTGACAGTGGGTGTAAAAATAGATGGGTTAAGAAATATCATTCAACCAGATGTTCAAGGAGTACCTTCTTTCAACTTGGGAACCCTCAAATTATTCAAAACATTATTGAATTGTTAATTTTAAAAATATATATAAGTTGTTAACTTCCAATATTAATTTTTCATTGATTTATATATATTTTGTTACCAATATATATATATTTGTTATACTAGTCAACAAGGTCTGTACAAAGAATATAAAAATATAGTCGTATGCATATAGTCCAATAAAAATTAGTTCTTGCTCTACATTTCAATCAACAAATGATAACTTAATATATAAATTAAATTTTTTAAAGATATTTATATAAATTTATTTTTAGAAAAATGAGTACATGAACACTTGCACATTTCATTTACCTCACAATACATTACTTTAACCTCTTGAAGTCAGTTACACAATGCTATTCGCAATTTCTTCGCTTAGCTTTCTGTACACCACTTGTTTGTATAGTAGTTAGAATATGGGGCAAATATTCACGGTGTTAATAAGTAAATATTTTTGGGTGTTGTGTAATTAACACTTTATGATCATAGAGGATCTTAGTAAAAACAAGGTAGAAGAAAGAAGCAATTCTCCATTTTAACAATGTGAGAAGCAATTCCCAAGATCAACAATGTGATTGTTTACAAAGTTGTTTTGCTATTGTAAAATACAGTGGTTCCATACATGTGTTAAACTTTGCACCTCGTTTATATGTTGCTGTGTAGCATAGCTTTAGTTGGCACCTGGGTATCTAGGTACTGCTTAGCTTAGTTACATCATCACCTGATAGTCAATGTGTTGAGATTGACACCTAGAAATTCCCTGCACATGTTATGCTGGGATACCTGTTGAACAATGTAATTGCCAATAGATGGACATGTTGGCTACCATGAGGAAGGAGATATGGTCAGATCTATTTCTATTTCCAGTCTATGTACATGTAATCTCCACCAGATATTTTGTGCAAACTAAACTTTACTAATAAATGTAATGAATACATACAACAATACAGTAGAACCCCCACTTTAAGGCACAGCAATTAAGGGAACATTTTTTGGGTCCTGAAGGTATTCCCTTAATAGGGGTTCTAATATATAACTTTATTTTATTTACTTTTGCTTATTTTTACTCAATTATTTCTGTTTCACAAACTGTTTTATGTATTACATTTTATTTTCAATTGTATGTTTTTTTCTCTGTTTTTTTTTAGAATAGTGTTCTTTATTGTTTTGTGAAATTTTATGCTACTTTCAATAAATTATTCTCTGATATTTTTGCATGTTTTTAATTAGATTAATACATAAATAAATTAACAGTTCATTTTTACTAACAATTAAATAAAAAAATAAAGTTATTTTTGTTTTATTCTGTGATACTTTAATTGCTTCTTTCTAAAATTTCTAACAAACTGTGTTATGTATTACATTTTATTTTCAATTGTATGCTTTTTCCTCTGTTTTTCTTTAGAATAGCGTTCTTTATTGTTTCGTGAAATGTTATGCTACTTTCAATAAATTATTCTCTGATATTTTTGCATGTTAATTTAGATTAATACATAAATAAATTAACAGTTAATTAGTACTAACAATTAAATAAAAAAATAAAGTTATTTTTGTTTTATCCTGTGATGCTTTAATTGCTTCTTTCTAACATTTCATTTTCTTTTTGTTAATCTATTTTAATTTTAGAGTCTGGATCAGGATACGAAGGCAGTGGGATAGGTATAGTACCCACTCTGTACATTTTCATGTTGCTCCAGTTTCATTGTTTGACCTTTGAAATCACATTTCATTATCCCGAGCTGAAGGTGCTATTGTCCACAGCAACAATATTCAATATAATCCAGGGGAGTGGCCTGATTTTGGTCTGTGTGGTGCGAAATGGCATAGGCTTTCAAAATTGAAATAAATAAATTATAACTAACCACAGCGACCACTCACCCAGCGTATGCCCATGTAAAACTTCCATTATGCCAATTATTGCTGTTGTACAAACCAATAAATTGTAGTATTTTTTTTTTTGTAGAAAAATGAATCATTGTTGATGTCACTTTGATTGTAGATTCATGTTTCTGTTTGGTTGTTGGAATATTTATTTGCATTTTCAAAAATGTATTTGGTTGGTTTTTTAAGGTTTATGTCGTAACATTTAGATATTTGGTTAATAAATTGTTTCCTTGGGCAGTTGGCAATTAATTAATTTATTGGTTGTAGTTTCTATTGTATACCGACTACATAGATTCCAGGCATTTGATTGGTTAAGAGCCAGGCAAAAGTTCCAGCCATGCCCTCCTAGCCAGGCAATAGACATTTTTTTTTGCCCTCTCGTAATTCACTTGCTAAGCCTATTGTTGAGGGCGCCGTGACCTGGAAGCTGACGATTGCTCTGCTGTAAGCTGCACACTGCATATTGGTCTTTCAATAATTACATTGCTCATCAAAAGATACTTAATTCCTCATTAACATCCAATTAAACAATTTGGATTATCTACTTAACAGTCTTGTAATAATGGTCTGATAAACTAATAATGAACACAGTTAGAGGTTCTAATTAAATTGGGCAGATAATTATATGATCATTTAATTAATGGTAAACTAAATAATAATCTATAGTACCAGTATTTATATTTTCAGACAGTTAGTTTAAAGATTGTTTGTAGATAGCACTGACAAATAATTAATAGATCTTGATAGCTTTAATTGCCCCCAAAAAACTTCAACAGTATGTTTACAAGATAATTATAGCGATTAATCTATATTTTTTCCCAAATGAGTGGGATAGATGCTTCTTGACCTGTAACTAAACCAACTGGTTAACATTATTTGGTATTTGTGTTGGTGGTCTTGTTGCTTGGTAACCATAACATAAGCTTTTGTTGTGGCTTGGTAACCATTTTATTTGTGACGTGATCTAGTTGGTTACCTCATTTTTTGATTGGTCGTAACTTGTTGCTTCGTTGCAAACATCATTTTTTCTTTATTGCCATGGTCACTATTGGCCAAAATGTTATTTCATCAACCATTTTTCAATATTAACTATCAAACATAATATATTAATTGTTTAAGCTTTCGTAAAGTAACTAATCATATAATCGATCATAATCAATAAATAAAACTGAGTATATCATTCTTTATTCATATTTTGATACAGAGCATTATTTTATTTGGCCTAGAAATCATTTTGGTTCACGGATTGATGAATCACAATATTTATAAACAAAATCAAACCATGGACCTATTATCAAACCTACTTAATAATAACCTAGCACTATTGCTAATACTAATCAATGGTTGACTCAAATTTAAGATGCTTTAAATCTGGAAATTTAATGTTCCTGCTGTGTATGTGGTGTTGTAGTGCTTGCTTGTATAATTCTGTTTCTCTGTTGAGGATAATCTCTTAATGGCTATGGTGGAGGATTCTGTAATAATGCCAAAGTGATATTCTATGCTATGCAAATTACCTTCTAATGAATAACATTTTTATTGTTGTTACTGTGGTTTTTGTTGCTGCCGCTGTTGTACTGTTGATGTTAAATCTGCTGTTGTGACATTTCTATGATGTTTCTGGAGTGTTCTATTGTTCATGGGACATGATATTCCTGTAGCTAGTTTTGGTGTTGAAATTGCCATTGTGTATGTTGTTGCTTTTACTGTTGATGAGATATTTTTTTTGCCATAAATGATATGTTGATGTTGCTATTTCTTGTTTTGATGTTGTGATAATGTTGGTAAGACTTTGTTGGTGTTCTATAGTTCATGGTGACATGATATTGATGTAGCTTGTTTTGTTGTTGAAGTTGCTATTGTGTATGTTGTTGCTGGTTACTGTTGATGAGATGTTTGTGTTGCCATTTATGATGTTAAGTTGATGTTGCTATTTCTCATTTTGTTATTAATGATAATATTGATGACAGTGTTGATGACTTTGCTAATGTTCTGTTATTCATGGGGAAATGGCTAGTTTTGATGTTGAAGCTACTAATGTGTATGTTGCTATTACAGTTGATGAGATATTTGTGTTGCCATTTATGATATAAATTTGATGTTGCTATTTCTCAATTTTTTTGTTGATGGCTGTGTTGATATGTAGTTAATTTTGCCATTATCATTTTGTTGTTGATGTTGGTATGATGTTGCTTTTTCTGGTTTTATGTTGATGTTCATCTTAATTTTTTTTAGTATTGTTATTTCTGTTTTAGTTGCTGGTGACATGTTACTACTGCAGGTTTTCCTTGTTGATGTTGCTGTTTTTGTTGTTGCAACAATGTTGAAAGTATTGTTGATGACATATTTATGTTTGGTATTCTAGCTGCATGTTAGTATAGTTTAAGATTAAAAGTTTTTCCTACACAATGTTGTTCATAAAATAGGTAAGCTAAACTAAAATATTGCAATTTCTTTATCTTTAAGGTTCTGGATCGGGAGATGAAGAGATGGGTTCCGGTAAGATGTGCGATGCCAGTAATTGCTTCTACGGCACATGCGAACAGGATGATGATGATGAGTTCGGCCACTGCAATTGCAAGTTGCGTTGCCGTGCTGAGCGTGTACAAGTAGTGTGCGGTTCAGATGGCAAAACATATGCAAGCGAATGCTTCATGATGGAAAATTCTTGTAGAAGTAAAAAAATGATAACTGCAGTGAAGCAGGGACCATGTGAAGGTATTGCATTATATGCGAGGATAAACATTTAAAATATGTTAATGTTTAATAAAAATTTCCTCTCTTTTAACAATTTCCTGTCATTGTATTTCAAACTGTAAATCAATACATATTATTCATTATAATATTTTGATTTTTAAACATAAATTCAATTGAGTTTTGTTATTGCTTCAGTAACTGCTGAGGAAATATATGTTTGAATTATATTTTATTATTATATACTTTAAAATAACACAACAATCATGGCTTAATCTACAATAAAAATACAATAATAATGAAACATAAATACAACTATTAGGAGAATAGGCATTTTAAATCAGAAATTGGTTAATGGATCACAATCAGCCCATAATGATAAATTTGCATGGAGCTATCAAAATACCTAGGGAGGCCTAAGTAAAATGCAAATTGTTAATGATACACACAACACCACACTGTGATGTTCTCGGTCCCGGCTAAACATGACACAATGTGAATGTGAATTTACATCATCGCAACATGACATACTAACTGATTGAAATTAATTTTGAGTATTTGAGGGCTGCAGTTTGGCGCAGTAATTGCCATTGTGGTTCTTCAACTTGCGTTTGGGAGTTCAAACACACAATGTCCATTCTCTGCAAGCCATGCTTGGATACCCTTGCTTGTAAAACCGCTGACCGGCTGTGAATTGTTTCACTATGTTTTATCCCAACATGGAAGCATTTCTTTGCGTATAATGAATATAAAATTAAATATAATAATTAATTTTATAATCCCTTTAATACCTAGAGGGGACACTATGTTTGGGGTGATTTCAATAAGCACTTTTAACCTTTATTAACAAATTTGTTAATTGTGTGATTTTAGAGGATTTTGGTGCCTGTGATGGAGAAACACCATTAAAGAGACCTGGTTCCAATGAGGACCTCTACTGTGGACGAGAAGAAGGATCTGATACCTGCCCAGATAATAGTTACTGTCACACAGATACAGAGAAAACATTTGCTAAATGTTGCCCAGGTCAGTAATTGTTTGATTGATTGATTTATTGATTGGTGGAATGATAAAGCATTAATGATTAAGATATTGGCATTTTGCTTTATAGATTATAAAGTTATGAAAAATACCAATAATATCTGTTGCTGAGAAAATTAATATAGTTTCATTAATGTGGACTATTGTGTGAAGTATGAAAGATGCCATCTGTCATAAAAATTGAAAAACTCAGTTCCATACTTGAATTACCTAATTTGCATATTTAAATAAATTATAAACTTACAATTGAAGATTTGAATGAGAAAAAAAAAATTAGTTACCAGAGAGTCTTTCGAACACCTTGAACCCCAACCTGGCTATGGGCTCTGCATTAAGTTAGACATGACTTTTCTTATTTCTTATTTCAAACATGCCACCCTCAAATAATAATAATTTCAAATAAAAATAATGGAAATTTCAGAAAAATTTTTTTTTTCATTTTTATTACGCCCTCTGCTGCCTTAAAATCTCCAAAGATAAGATATGTATATTTCTTCCTGATTATATAAAATTAAAGCATTTAACCATTTCATTACTACACTGTTTATATTTTTTATTTTTATTTTCCCCTCCATCTGGATATTTTTGGCAAAACTATTTGCTAATAAGAAAACAAGACTTTATTTTTATTTTTTTTCACCCACCTCTGATGATCTTTAAAAAAATAAGTTTGCGAAACAAGGAATAAAAAATGTCTTGCCTTATTTGTATCATTGTTGTTTATAAATTACTGTTATTCATGGTATTTGTGTTACTGAACCATTGAAGATTTTTGATTATCAATGACAATGATAGTGGTGATATGTATGTCAATTGATACATGGCAGAAATACGTTGTAGTCCTATGAAATATGTGTCTCGTCTGGGTTCAATTTGTGCTGCAATTGTACATCTACATATTAGATATAACCATATCACCTTTTATATTCTCTTTTTTTTTTTTTGACTCTGCAACATTAGCCATCACCATAGTTTTTCCAGGTTTGTTTAAAAGTACAGAAATGCCTGTTAACAAGTTTCTCACGGTGTTTGTCTTTAATTGTTAATGCACTTAATGTTGTTTGTGCTTTGTATATAAATATTTTGGTCTATAAAACACTAGAGTAGCTGATGTCAACTGAACAATAGGAAGAGCAGATACGATACTACGCTTAGATTTGCAAAGTAAACCTTTAATTGCGAGGTGTCGTGATAGAATGAGTCACTGGGACAATAATGATCAATTATATTTTCTATATGAACAATTGCTTTTTAGTTTTTTATAGTTGGTCGTTATCATTGTAGTGTAAACAGGCCTTTATGCTACCAAACGTGAAATATAAGTTATTTATATATTCATTTGTGGAGTGGCTTAATCCGTGTCGTTTGTGCGTAAACATGTATACTAACTCAGACTGCGTTTTTAGACTAAACTCCATCAGTGCTGTCAGGTTTGAATAACTTAAGACAAAAGAACCTAAACTTGTGTTACTTGTTTATTTTCAGTAGCACACTATCTTGTTGTTTCTAATTACAGCACTCACAAAACCATAATAAGCTTTACTATAAAATGTGATTAGTTTTCTATGTGTTAATAAAACAATCTCGTTCTTTTTCATTTTTTAAACATCGAATTCCCTTCCATGTCTTGTGATAGTATGTTTGTAATGTCTGTGTTTTATTATCAGAAAAAAAATATCTGATATAATTGTTCTGGCTCTCTATATACAAGCTTGTGTGTATTTGGCTATTACCTGCACACAATTGCATGGTTTGGTCATTTATGTTCTTATAATGATTATACTACAAGATGATGCTTTTGATGTACTGAGAAAATAGGTCTTTTTAAGTATATATAAAAACTTTTCAAAATTTAATTTGTAGATGAGAAAACGCATGGATGTGCAGAATCAATGTATGGTTGCTGTCCAGATGGTAAAACATTTGCACGCGGGAACTACTACGCAGGATGTCCGAGTAAGTTTAACAAAGAAATGACGACATGTACCTTGGAATGTTGAAGAGGTTTTATGGGAACTTGGTCAAGATTGATTAATTAAATTTATTTAGTAACATATGCATAAACTATCTTGACAAATTGTTAAACAAGAATAACTTGTAAAAGATGAAAACTTTCTTCATTCTGTAGTTATTTATGCAAATACCTAAAGCAAATTGATTAGACGAGTTGGCAAGTTGATTAACCAAGCGGAGTCAGGCAGTGGCGGCGCCAGTGGGGTGGGGGGGGGCAGCAGGGGCTTAAGCCCCCACCGTACAGGTCAAGCTCTCCATTGGACAGAGCTCGTCGGGCAGTCGGACTAAAAAATATATAAAAAGGCCCACGCCAGCCAACACATGTCTGTCACAATCAGAGAATAAAATTTCTGGCCATTTAGAGGTTCCCATTGTTTAAAAAAATCTCATTTGGGAGGGAACACCCTCTCAAACCCTTCCCTCAGCTCGGGCCTACCAGCCATAGTCCCCCGCCCCCTGTCGGCAGCTCAGCTGATTGGCATATCCTTGGCGCTCATGCCTAAAGAAATGAAGTGAAATGAAATACAAATGCATACAGTTCTTTGCTTTCAGTCCTGTCTAAGCTCATCTTTTACCATAGACTCAAAGTTTCATTTATTTATAGGCTTCAACACTTTTGTGCTATTGTTGTTGTTATCACTCCTGTTTTTTGGTATTGCTGTAAATGTACGTATTTAAATAATTAGTTTTTAAAGCAATATATTCTTTTTATAGGTTTGTGCGACTGTAACAAACTGGGCTCCTACAGAAGCACCTGCGACCCAGCAACATTGCAGTGCTCTTGTAAGCCTGGTGTTGGTGGCACGAAATGTAATCGCTGCGAACCAGGTTTCTGGGACTTCCGGGGAATACAGAATGGAAATAGTGGCTGTAGACGTACGTATCCCTGAACTTGTCACAGTATAATAATCTATTTTTAAAAGGTTTCATATAGATTAGCTTGACTTATTTTTTTTGTGAAAGAATCTAATGTCTATTATTTTCATCGCTTATCGAGGGATATGTGATTTTTATATTATTACTTAGCACCATACTCATAGGTTTGTAAATAATTTACCGCATCTGATTATATAGATGGTGCTATACATTGATTGGTTTTGACTCTTAACTAGAGAAAACTTTGATAAATGAAATAAGAAAATACTAGTATATAATTCCAACATTTAATCAATTAAAATTTTTGTAATCCCTGCATCTAAATATAATGCTTTAAGTATACATGACTGAGAAATTAAAGAATGATAAATAATAGTAATATTAATGATAATGAAAATTAGGGAAATTATATCTTTTACCATTACAGCCAAACTCCTATTCAAGGGACACTATTACAGGGACACCTTTTTAGGTCCCGATGCTATAATATAATATATAATAATAATATGTATAATATAATATTTCCTTAATATAGGGATTTTACTGTATGGTACTTCTTCATTGATACGCCAATAAAGCCAAACAGAAATTAAAATTAATGATATTTATAAACATATAAACAAATAAATAAATGAAAAATGACAGATCTACACACGATTTAACATTGTAGCCTGTGGTTGCCAGCCCGGTGGATCAGTGCGCGATGATTGTGATCAAATGACTGGAGAGTGTTTGTGCAAGCAGTCAGTCATGGGAATGAAGTGCGAAATCTGCCCCTATGAAGAAGTCATGACTTCTTCCGGATGTAAGTATATTACTGCACACCATACGCCATAGGGTGCAGCAGTTAGACTTGGTCAAACCACTACAACAAGTGACTGCAGTGATCCAAGTTTTTTTTTAACCGTATATATGTATGAGGGTAATGGATCCTTCCAGCTTAAGCTATCTTTACACTAGATATGATTACGACACGACAACAACACGATATAGATTCACGCAGTGTTGAAGAATACGAACTATGCGGTGGTATGGCGTTGTTGATATGGCATTGTCGTGTCGAAATCTAGTGTAAATGTACAGTAGCTTTATCCTCATCCTAGGTCTGCTGATATTCAGTGCTCAAAATATATTAATGTGATGTTTTACAACCTAAAGCCAGACACTGTGCATGACGGTCGTCGTTGGATATAAATTTGTGGAGAACGCAATGCCACGATGCTCGGGCAACAGATCATTTTTAATGATGATTTGTTCAGACTGCCACCAACAATCATTAGACGCCATTGTGTCACCTCAGGCTGGGCGTTGGATTTGTCGACTGGCATTAGTCCAACTTTATGTGAATTTGCCCATATATGGGCACGATGAGGTCATATCACATCAATATATGTGCATGATAATGTCATGTCTTACCCCTATGTGGGTAAATAACAGGTATTTCTCATTTAAATTGACATGTGTATTAGGCTTTATGAAGTAAAGGTGTTTTTTTATTATTATATTATTAATCTATTAACATCTAAAAAGCTAATAATTTTTTTTAATAACTTTAAATATTTGTCATCAAAACGTCCATATTTCACAACATGTTATTGTTTTACAACATGTTATTGTTTTAAATCTGTACTTTTATTAGGCGAGTTATTAAGCCCAGGTCAGGTGATCAGATCATGTGATCAATTAGAATGTCGCTATGGTTGCAAGGAAGTAAGGGATATCGCTACATGTCTCTGCCCTGTCAGCTGCCCTGAAGTGGGACCAGTTTGTGGAAGTGATGGCACAACATACGCTAGTGAATGCATGCTGGACCTAGTGGCCTGTCGATCGCGCCGTGACATCCGACTCATCTCAAGAGAGAAATGCAAAAGTAATGGTTTATAAATCTATTATTTTATATAACCAAGTGCTGGTTTTCCATGAGACCTAGAATACAGGGAAACGAAACACATTGACATATATATTGTAGTATATCCCACCATTCCCTATAAGTCATGAAGAAAGAGTGTACAGTATATTTAATAAAGCATCTGAACTGCAGAATGGGGTGCACCATCTCCACCATTTTGTGCTATGTCCATATGTACCCCAGCTGCATCAGTTATGTCTAGGTTTGTTGTGAGGTTTGGTGCCTCATATCAAAAGGAGAAAAAACAAGAATATTTTTTTTTTCTTTTGGCTTGTGATCCTTTATAGACATATTGATAAAGAAATATTGTACATGTGGAGCACAATTCCAACCTAGCTTAAAGCCCTGTCTAGACTACAGTATCAAATTATATTTTTTTTTTAAAACATGTGACATGCCTAAATATGGCATGATGACATCACATCATGACCATATATAGGCACATCATGACTATATATGGGCATACAACAGTTTGTGTTAAGGAAAATTTGATTGTGTGGATACAATTTACCTGACTGATGTATGAGCAGTACCATTTTCTATATATGACCCACAAACAAATTAATTCAAGGCATTATCTCATTACTATTAAATCGCTGAAAGCTATTTAAGATTCCCTCCAATCTTACAGAGCCTCCGGTGTGTCCATTTATTGACTGCGTTGAATCCTGTCTGCACGGGTATGAGCAGGATGAGAATGGATGTCAAACATGCGACTGTATAGGTAAGAAGTTCATCTTCAAAACTATATTGATCAAACTTCATATGATGAAATGATGATCTTACAAATTAAAACACATTAACGTTATGGCTATAAATTGAAACACAAATAATACTCAGTATATTGAGGCTGAAAATATTTGCATCATCACCAAATCATTACTTATTATATATCAATATGTTTTCTAATTATAATGTCAATAAAGGTAATTACACTTATTAATACAATTATTCATCATATGTTTTGTCCTCATAATTATCCTCTTATTGTTTTATACTCTTCTTTTCATGATCTCATCTTTGATTTGATTTCACTTTGATCAGATCCTGAATTTTTTTTCATAACAGAATTATGCTATATATAGAATTCTACTATGTACAGTTCCTAACCTATAAACTGCTTAAATATACCTTTCTTAATTTTAAGCCGCTACTACAGAGGCTCCAGATTTTGTCACAACAACCATGTATACACCACCAGGGAAGATGCTTACTGCTGATATGTCCACACTAAACCCAGATGCTATGAAAACAACCATGTCTGAAGGAGTCACAGTTCAAACAGAATTGGTAACAGAGTTTGAAAAACAAACAACTGGCAAACCAGAGATGGCAGCTGATGTGACAACATCAAAGATTGATCAGTTTGTGACATCAACAATGATTGTGATGGAAACAAGTACCATATATGAAACAGTAACCATCGATATTGATCAGAAAGAAGAAGGTATGGTGTCTACTATGATGCCAAGTGGCAGTAAAAAAACTCCAGAACCTTTCATGGAAGCCACAATGATGGCTACTGAAGTTGCTACCGAACAGTTGTCAGACATCAAAATCATGCCAACATCTCAAGAGAAGCTTGCATATCAGACTACTGGAATGCCAGAAGTAGAACCCACAAAGAAGACAGAAATTGTTGTCACACAGACAATAGAAATGGATGTCACAGAGAAGATGTATGTTACAGAAAAGGTAGAAGTTGATGTCACAGAGAAGGCAGAAGTTAATGTCACAGAAATGGCAGAATTTGATGTTACAGAAAAGAGAGAAGCTGTGACAATGAAGTATATTGGAACTACTATGATATCTGATGATGAAGATGATACTACAGAAATGGGATCAGGAACAGGTAAGGTCTTTCATATCCTCTGTATATCTGCATTAGACAGCTATTGTAGGCAGACTATTACCTCTCATGTGTGTGTATATATATATATATATATATATATATTATCAATGATATAAGGCTTAAGATACTCTCCTTTTTCTTCAAATCTAATGTACATTTTTTTATTCTTTAAGGAGATGGTGATGATGAGGATGTTGACACCACACCAGGACTCGTAACCAGCATCATTGGGACCACAGTGGAGCCTTTGTACACAGCATCAGGGTGTGAGATCACAGAGCATGGGTGCTGTGATGATGGCCTCACACCAGCTGATGGCCCTGACGGAATGGGATGCCCAGCCATGAGTAAGTGCAGTAACAATGAATCTCAAATATATGCACCTTTCTTGTGCTATTGTTGGTGTATTTAATCATAACAATCAAAGAACATACGCCTGAACTGATCCAAAAGGCCATTGAAAAATTGTTTGACACATGAAATACAAATGAAATTTATTGTCTTCTGTTAAATACAAACAGTTGGCGAAAGTAAAAGTAAATCAGAAACATTCAAACTCATCATCATCATTATCAGTTTAAAGTCTGTAATTAATCCATGTTAGCATGGGTGGACTGTTCACCATAAAACCTTTCCTCCAGTCATTTATATTCTGTGCAGTTGCATTGCTTATCCTTAGCTTGTGGAGATCATTGATAACAACTTGGTCCCAAGTCTTCCTAGGCCTTCCTCTACCTTTAGTTCCCTCAACTTCCATCACCCTACTCTATAAACTATTAAAATTGATTAAAAATATGTGAGGTCTCGCCACAAAATGAGACTCATTGTTAGAAATTCAAAAATTGAGTTTATATTATATTTAGGGAGATCACATTATAAGCTTTCATTTGGTCTTTGAATGGCTTCCCTACTGTAAGTAAATCCAGAGATGTGAGCATTTAAAATTTAGTTGTATAAGAACCACGTTTGAGAAAATCAGCCTCAAAGATAAACTAACCTGTACAAATAATATGATTAGAATTACAGAATATGTGCAGAGAACACTGTTTTGGCAAGAAAATTCACTTACAAAGTATACAATCATAAAATATAAGTATCAAGTTATTCAAAAACAGTAAAATCAAAATTGTGCAAAAATGTTGGCCTGTTTTGGTGAATATCTCAATAGGATTTCACCAACGATGCATCTCATTTTGTGGTGAGACCTCACATATATAATCAAAAATTGGATCCACTGAAAAGGAAACAAAGATTTACAAACACCAAGAAGCTTAGCACAAACATAAATACTTAAATATAATTGTATAATGTTGTTGTTTAAGCCACTAATACAAATGTTACATGATGTTACAATTTATCATGTTGATATTTTTATAGTTTGTATTTTTATATAATCCCCTTGGCAATCATATACTGATTTAAAAATATAAAAATATATAATCAAAATTCGGGCTGCAACGGAAACAAAGCTTTGCAAATATCAAGAAGCATAGCACAAAGATAAATACTTAAATATAATTGAATAATTGTTGTTTGAGTCACTAATACCAAATGTTTGTTATATTGCGATTTGTCATGTTGATATTTTTCAAATAATAAACTGTTTGTCCCAACAAATGCGCTTGTTATACTATGAAATGTTGCAACATTTCAGGAACCACACCAGAACCCCTGCCCCCAGCATGTGATTCCATGCCGTGTCTTCACGGAGGATCCTGTGTTAACAGGATGGAAGCCCCTGGATTCATCTGTCTATGTCCCCTTGGCCAAAACGGACCTGTGTGTGAGGAAGGTAAGTCTAAATTAAAAAACATACTCTATACTGATTTTAAAGAATTATTTTACTGTTAAACCAAAGCCAGACTCAGGAGGAAAACAAATTGTTGATTTGTTGTTTAGTTGATTTTTTTAAGACACAAAAAGGGTTACGAAAACATTTCGAACGGTTAATGAGATACAGATTTTTTTAATATTTAGAATCTAGGGAAAACCACCTGTTTTCCCTTGGCCTTAAGGTAGCGAAAATAATATGAAGAAAGGGTTGGCACAATGGTCGAGGCTCAGATTCTCAACCTTGTGTTTTAGCCCTCACTGTAGAAGTGACTTTTGCAAAACACTTTAAATCCTGGTTCCAGAGGGAAAAGAAATGTTGATAGGTTGTACAACTGATTTTTTTTAAGACATAATAATATTTCACGAAAAAACGTAGAAGCTGTCTCTTATACACATCTAGATGTGTATAAGAGACAGGGGGAAGATCAGGGTGAGAAATAAAAATAAAATGTTGATCATTTCCAACAATCATACTTACTTTTCTTGACACTTACTTTGAACATTACCATTAGGAAAATGTTTAAATCCACACCCCTCATTCTTCGGCCATTCTTACATTGCTTTCGAGAAGAGAAGGCGTACTGGAAGCGAGACTAACCTTGATGTGGAATTTTACCCAGAATCTGATTCTGGCCTAATCTTCTACTCTTCCTCTTCCGATGGAAGCGAATTCATTTCATTGGCGATTGTTGATGGTTTTGTTGAGTTCAGGTATGTATAACTGTATATACTCTTTTTAGTTTTATTTTCCTCCCCGCAGAGGTATAGCGTAGGCATTGCAAAAAAGCACTTGTTTGTTCACTCTTTTTTCTGCTCTAATAATCTTAACTAAAGATATAACTGGATTATGTTTTACTGGTATTTTTAATATGTTTTAGTGTGCATTTTTAGATTTGAGCCATTCAACTGAAGTTTTTGTTATTTGACCATGGACCTATTAATAAGTCTTATCTTATTAATAGGTCCATGATTTGAGTGTTATAAAATGTTCACTTTAACATTGTTGATATACAAATGTGACGTGCCCCAAAACCTGAAAAAAGTAGCAAAATTTGTTTTTATTATATTCTGTAATTACCAAAAGGTCCACTGATTAATCTCAGATAAGATAGTATAATACATACTCCAAGTATGGAAATGATGGCGTGCATTTTTAGAGTATGTATTATACTACCTTGTAATTAATTAGTTTTTATTTTATTAGTTTTTTTTTAATTAATAATAAAGAATTGAGGTTGAAATAGAACAACTGAGAAAAACAACCTTTAACCTTTAGTGTACGTGCACAAGTTGCATATTTCATGCATGAATGAACATCTTCAAGTGTTAACTTTTGACTTTATCTGGGTTTTATAGGAACATGTCACAAATATAAACATATATCAGTTGACTCTTCCAAAGGGAATCGTAATTTGTTCTCAAGTGGCACTTTGAGTTTTGTTGAAAGTCAAACATTCTGAACCGTTAATTAACATATCAGGTATTGCATTCTCAGGTGGCAAGGTACAGATGCAGATATCGCTAGGACGACAGCCGCCATGTCAACTACTATGGACATCACCAATGAGTGGGTCTTAAACATTGGTTTTACCATGGAAATGTTGCTTATAAATAACTCCATGGTTTTACCACTTAATCAACACCAGCTAATAACATACTGTGTACATCTTTTTATTTAGTAGTCTTCATATACGCTAACTTTATTCTGCCATTATATTCATAGATTTATACTGTTTTCCTTTTATTTTGGTTCACTCACAACATATTCTTTTATGATTATATAATAAAGTAAGAGGTAGAAACCACTTACGGTCATCGTAGATTCTGGTAACTTTGTCTCAGCTTTTACTGAATGACTTAGATATTAAGTCTGGTTAGATTCCCTTCTTGTCAAAGGCAAAATACTATCCAGAAATACCATTCTTTATGACAGCCTTCTGCATCTCGTTTAAACCAGTTCTAACAAGATCACCTAAAATCTGGCTTAAACCAGTTATAGCTTTATCGCCAAGTCTGATTGGAAGCCAAGATCAGTACTCTTTTTAACAGCCTTTAGGCAACTGTCGAAACAAGCTCTTCAGATCATTTAGGATTTGTGGGCTAGAATTTTCTATTAGCATTTGTCGGATTGCAGACTCATCATACCAAGACAGTATTTTTTATTTTAGTTTTATTTATTGTTTTGATTTCATTGTTTTACATTTATTTCACAGCATGGTAGATAAATGTAGCGTTGAATTCAAAAACACAATTTTAATCTCTTAGTTTTCCATCATCACTGATTGTTTATTTGCACTATATTATTTACTGGTTTGCAATGTAACAAACTTATCTGGGGTTGATCCTGCCATAAGGAAGGGGAGCAAATTGCCTGTGGAATCTTTCATTAGCTTATTATTGATGTGCAACAATATCTTACCTACTCACCACTTAATAATTCTGCTAACCAGTAGTTGTTATATTTTATTTGTTCTAACATATGTTTCTGAGTAAATTCAGATCATATCAAGAATTTTTTATATTTATTTGGTCAACCTTGGAGGTGGTATTATTGCCTTCAAGTGTTAATGAGCATTATGTAAACTGAGCAACCTTTGGTCTAGCCCTGTTGTCATCATTTTTATTGAATTCTTCAAGCCAACAAGACATATTAATTCACATTTAATTTACACATATTTTCACTTTGTTACTCTTACATAAAATGTCTAAATATTTGGAATACTGTATCTCCTAAATGTTGTTGCCGTACCAGTGGTGATTCCAGAAATTGGACGACATTTCCAAAGGGGGTCTGAACCAAGGGGATAGCTAAGGCCTTGGGTAAGGGTCCAAGAATAAAATTCTGGGTAAGGTACATTGGGAAGATTTTATTGTAGTTTAAGGGGTTGTCACTCAGATAACAGCAACTTAATATTTCACTAGTTCGATGAGCTCTTGTTGTGGAATACAGAGGTCTATACATGTCCGATGGGGGATTTCCTCTTGAAACCCCCCCCCCACAGATGTCCCCACTCCATCGTACTAATGCTACATGCAATAATACATAATTGTTGTTTTTGTCCATTTAATTGCTTTTTATGTACGTCATTAGGCATTGTGCACTTGCTGCTTGTCTCTCAATGCAAGTCTAACAAAGGATGTAGTCATCTGATGCTTACAGCTAAAGATTTTCTTTGTGGATTTTCGTTGTCCTTTTGTAGCCCCTATGTACTGTAGTCTACTGTCTAACAAATCAAGGCTTTTACTTTATATATTAAGTTTGTCCTTAACATGTAATAAATTATGATAGTCATAACAACATAATACAACTTAGAAGAAATTGTGATTAACAGTGCTTTCAAATAATGCATAAAATATTGAAAATTAATAATAAGTTTTAACCAGAAAATGTAAAGGTGGATGAGTATTAATAATTGATGTCAGTTATCAAATTACTCCAACGATTAATGATTAGTCAGCATGTACTGTAGGCCTGCAGTATCACTGACAATGTGCAAATGCATATTAAAAAACAACAGACCATTGACAAATATACTGTACCTTTCTGCCAAGCTCCACCGATTATATATTGTTGCTAAGATCCTACAAAAAATATATGTATACACACTTGCATTTTGTGGGCCCACATGTGTAGTTTTGGAAAAGCACATGTAATCCTATATCCCTGTTCTGATTGGCCATTTGTTTGATTGACACTTTTGAAACGTCCATTGCTTATACAGGTCTCCCTCTAATTTAAGACTTCTCCAGTTAAAGACCACCTCCAATTAAGGACCACTTTTTTATAATTAGAGACCATGAAATGCTGGTAAAGACAATGGAAACTTGGTCCAAAAAAATGGCCTTTATTTGGAGAGATCAGAACTTCTACTTTCTAAAATTAAATTTCTCTGCTCTTCTTTCTGAATTTGCAATGGTAGTCTGCTGTTCTTCAATCCATGCAATGGATAGAAAGGCTGAGTGTTTTCCCTGCATGCCTTACTTAACAGCTATGCATCTGCCCTTCCTAGCTGCTATTGCCAACAATTAAGCTGGGCACTCACGGCGTCGTACCGGTCATATTATCAACGTAATCCAACTCCCTTTACTGTGAGCGATAGAATACACAATTTTTTCGGTGCCAGTCTGGATGGATTGCCATCAAAAACAGTCCATTGTGTGCACGTTGTGGCATTACATTCTCCATTGACCTTCGACCTTCAGGCGTCATGAGTGCCTGGCTTAGGTCAAACTTATATGTAAGCCATAGCCTATGGCTATGCTGATTCTTGTCAGATGGTTGCTGCATTAACATTATCAATAGAGGGCAGTAGCGATGGGCATCACATGACCTAACTTGAGTGTTGGATATAAACAATACACTGACACAGCGGTGTTTTACATGGAGATTTCTATCGCGGCCATCCCTTGTTTATTGCTGAAAAGATCATCATAATTCCCAGTAAACAATACCAAATTGATTGGAAATTAGACTTAAGTGTTTTGCCTTAATGTTTTGCTAATGCTGTAAAGGATACTGTCTGCAAACTTTTTCGACAAATGTTAGGCCTAGGCCCCTGCACATCTACGGCATGGTTAGGTATGCATGATGGTCTTCGCCCTGTGAACTACACTGCGATGTTAGGGCCAGCTAAGGTATATGAAGGATCACTTAAATTTCAAAGCATACAATCCAAGGAGAACAATAGGAAAGTAAATAAACACTATTTGAAACAATCGTATTGCCTTTCCTAGCCATTTACTTCTCATGTTAACAGTGGGTGGTTGTTTTCGCAACCATAACTTTTCCTATGCTATCGCACTGTAATGGTTTTCATGTATACCCAAGTTAGGTCACTTGACTGCCTGTAAACAGTCATCGCTAAATCCCTCTATTTATATGGTTTGGTATAAAAATTATGTAAATTAAACTAAATGTTGGCCTTGGTATGCATACTTATATCGAGACACTAACCAGTATCTGACAAACACATAACTTTCGGTTGTTAACTGACTGACTTTAATATTTTAATTAATGAACAATTAATTAATGGCGCTTACTTACCCTATAAACAGGGGGAAGGTCAAGGAAACATATTACATTACAAAAGATAGAATATTAAAAATTACATTATGATGAAAAGCCTAAAATTGGATGGATAACATTTATTATTAATATTGAAAATTCTTTATCTATATAGACAATTGGACTAAATAACATTGACTTCAACCAATAAATTTATAGCCATTGGGGTGCCAATGCCTCATGCAATCTTCAGAGAATAACGCCATATTGAAACCCAATATTGAAAGTCAAGTTGAGATTAGTGGGCAATTCAGAGGGGGACATGGGTTTGCTTGCCAAAAGATGACATTTCCTTACAATTAAGCCTCATTCTTGTCCCCTACGTGCCACAAGCCTTTTGTTAAATATTCTGGTTCTGCCCCTTATATCTATCACCATTTTCATGACATTCACATAGCTTGAGAGACTGATTGAAGTGATGCACTGTTGCATACCCTCACGACATACACCTTTTATAGAAGTTGATGTTACTGGTGCTCTCTTTTAATTATTAAGGTTTGATGCTGGCTTTGGTGATGCTTTGGTTATCCGGAGTGCAGAGCCTGTTGCTATGAAGGAATGGCACACGATTGTTGCTAAGCGTGAGCGTCGTGAAGGCAGTCTACAAGTTGACGATCAAGCAGTAGTTGAGGGCAGGCTAACGAGTGGCTCTCCGTTTCTCATCCTTGATACTGATGTGTTTATTGGCGGTGTTATTGACAATCAAGATGCGTAAGTAGGCCTAAGACATTCTCAATATATATTTATGGTTTTTTTTCTCAGTCTTTTAAAGCCTTATCCCCAGCAAAATTTCACTAAAAAAAGATTTTTTTTTAGAAAATATGCATATGCATTACTCTAATTATCATAAGCCATAGGAAAATATTGGCATAAATTTTAGTTTTACGCAAAAGGATAAAACAAATGAGCAATAAAGACTTTCTCATAGAAGATTACCATTTTCTCGACGAATTCTTCGTTACTAGGCAATTCAGAGGTTGTAGATCGCATCTGCTGGAATACTGTCGCTTTTGTGTATATATACAGTCAATAAAGTGGGCCCTCTCTAATGAGATTAGTTTTTCTACTTCACACACTACGGTCGATCAAGTAGGCCTGAGATATGTTTGTTTAATTGTCAAAATCTCGGTCAGAATCATTTTTTCTAACAAATTTGAAATAATTCTATGAAATATTATATTTTACAAGTGTCAGTACTGGCAACAAAAAATATGTCAGCCATTTTTATGTTGGGTAACAGAACTTAAATCAAGGTAAGGCTAGGCCTAGCCATAGCAGTGTTTCCAGCACCTATTATATTTCTTTGCAGACCTACACAAAATCATAAAAACTTCATCCGCATTTATATTTTTTGTCTGGAACACAAAAATTCAAATTTCAGTCTTATTTTACTTTTTTTTCATGTTTAAGAATGTCTAAGTTCAGTTAAACTAGCAATTTCGTATTATATTTATGAATCTTTATAACCTATATAAAAATCAGATTTTTCTTAACAACTGAAATTTTGCCGGGAATGGGGCTTTAAACATTCTAAAGTGTAGATTAGATCTGAAATTTCTCCTAAAATAGTATTTTCAAAGTACAAATCCATGTTTGCCCTACCTGACGTGTTATAGTACTGATTGCTCTGTACGTTCCCAAATACTTGTGAAAAAAATCTCTCAAGTGATTCCGGTGGGAATCGAACATACAACCTACAGATAACTGCCTGGACAACTCAATTACTTGCACTTGGTGGCTAGCGATGAATCCGATCCTCAAGTACCAGCGGGTACTGCAGTGCTATCCGATCGTGTTTTGCGTCTGTAGAAATAATATGAAGTGATGCTTGCCCTACCTTTAAAGTAATTATTTTGAAATTCTGACAAAAAAATGTCTGAAGAAATTATACTGAATAAAACAGAAATACAATACCAAGTTCTTTGATATTCATTTCAGGTAAAATTGTGTTTGTAGTCAGTTGCGTGAATTCTGACGGTCCTTTTCATGGTTTTGTAGATATTACCATTAATGTCCTTCAATTACCTATGGTGAAAATGTCAAAAGAAAAAGTGGTCCACTCTCAATTTATGGGAAAAATAAGGGAGTAGTGAAATAAAATCTATATTGTTATAGTTCTTAAAACTATCTGTTGCAGTTCACTTTCAAAGTGGGTTGGTCTATTTTATTATGGAACATACCATTCTATGACAGGTGCACTCCTACCTCATTATAGTACTTACTAACATTTGGTTTCTTATTATTAATTACTCAGATTGTACCAACAACTCCAAGTGGATAGTGGCTTATTCGGTTGTGTGAGGAAAGTTGCTATAAATGACGAGCCTTACCAACTGCAGTATGTAAACGGTGATGCATTGTATGGCGCTAGCATTTCTGAATGCGGAGTCAGCCCGTGTGATGCGCACCCTTGTCTTAACAACGCAACCTGCGTGGATGAAGCAGAAAACTTCCAGTGTGTATGTGATGACGGATTCTTTGGTAAGTAGAATTATTTTAAAATAATACTGTTATTTTAAATGTACTTTTTTCATATTAAGTTCGAAGACAGTGTTTTAACATTTGAAATTGTGAAGTTGGTAAACATTATTGCCTTCATTCACAATACACAAGGGAATATTTTGACAGCTCTGAAAAAGTTTAAATTGTATTTAAAATGTAAAAAAGTATGTACAATATCATTATTTTAAATATTATTTTTAATAGTTTGAATTTGTTAATTATATGTATTTGTTTAATATTCATTTATATAAATAATTATATATTTTAAACAAAAATGTATTTTTGTAAAATTATATATTATTATATCTTATAATAATCTTATCTTATTGCATATTATTATTATTATTATTATTATTATTATTATTATTATTATTGTTAGTAGTAGTAGAAGTATTATATGTTTTTAAGATTTGATCTTATTTTTTTTATTTGCTGATTTGTACACAACTAACAACAGACTAACTGGCTACTTTTCTTCATGTTTTTATGTTATATTAGATATAAAATATACATTTTATACAAAACAGAATTACAGTACGTAACAATTAATTATTATTGTAATATTATGGAAATATAATTCTTAGCAGACCATGGTCCTTTTTATATTTTCTCAATACATTTTTTTACATAAAACATTTTCCACAGGTCCTCTCTGCGGTGACATATTTGTGGACCCATGTGAAGGTAACATGTGTCGTTCTGGATCTACTTGTATTCCTTTGCCTGAGGGTAGCTATCGTTGTGATTGTCCCATTGGACTACAAGGAGAAAAGTGCGAAGAAGGTGAGCCAAACCTATAAAATCCATCTAAAAATCTAATCCATCCATCTAATCCATCCATCTAATCCATCCATCTAATCCATCCATCTAATCCATCCATCATTTTGATCTAATCCATCTAAAAATTTATAAGAACATTTACAGTTTAGTGTGCAAAACTTTTTTTTCAAAAACATAAATATGGATTTATAAATCATATACTTATAAATGTCTCAGTATTTAATTTGAAGGCGAGTATTTAAAGGGGAAGTGTCCTATTCAAAGACATAAAGATATGCATTGGCTAGTTTTGGATGAATGAAGATGCAATTAAAATAGGTTAAAAATTTCCTAAACGAATAGAATATACGAGCAGTTGGGTAAAGACAACTTGATTTCTTGCTTCGAACAAGGTCCATTCGTCTTATGAAGATAACCTATACAGTATTGATGCTAAAAGGCGGGGACCTGGACATATCTCTGACTTTAAATTGACAAAGATAGAAAAATGTAAATACAGAAATGATATATATACATAATAGGCCTTAAAATGTACAAAAGTGTAATTTAAAAATAATTAAACTGAATGAATATATGATGTAAGCATATTTATAATTATAAATAAAAGTAACGTAAAATATAAAAGAATACAGGAAGAAGAAAGAATAGGAAAGAAACTTGGAGCGGCTGAAATACTTTCCGAAAATAAACAATAAAAATCAAAATGTCATTGCTTTACGTTTTTGTAGCAAATTTTGGACACGGTGTTAAGCCTACATGTTTTCCACTATGCTGTTGTTTGCCAAAATGTAATACTCTACATCAAATTTAAGTACCGTAAATGCTTGAACTTTGCACTGCTACGCTTATAAAAGTTTTGGTGAAATGCTTTACAGTCCAGATTGAAGATAGTGTTTAAATTCTTAGTACATGTCGGTAATTATCCCATCTATTAGATTCTGTAGAAAAAACCTGAAACACAGAGATTTCCGTGTTTGGCGGTCAAGCGTTGCGTTACCAAACACGGAGATCTCCGTGTTAGGCGGGCAAAGTGTTAAGGAAGTATAGGACATAGACACACGTCCCCACTGAGAGCCTGTTTTATTTATTTATTTTAACACTGTATACATTGTATTTAAAACCCTGTTTTTCGTAGTGTTTACTTACACACACCATAATATACTCTTGATCCTGTGGCGCTTATTCGAGAGTGGAGCTTAGCTAAAAAATCAGGTTTAGTGTGGCGCTTATTCAAGAGCTGTACGTATTTGGCCGCGGCGCTTATTCGAGCATTTACGGTGGGTAATATTTTTCGGACATTATCATGCTTTTACTGAAGTGTTGTATTAATTTGGCATTATTTAACAGAAGTGGTCGAGGAAATATACATCCCGGCATTCTCTGGAGTGTCGTACATTGAGAGACCGGGACTTAAGAAATACGCAGACGAGACTTCAATGAATATCACATTCCTCCCAAAGAAAGGTAATGGAATGCTTGTGTACAATGGACAAAAGGGAGCTGGCCCCGATGGAGATTTCATCTCTCTTAATATGGTCAACGGTTTCTTGGAATTCAGATACGATCTTGGTGGAGGGGAGGCGAACATTAGGTAAGTTCAAATTATTTTAAAAACCTTATTTGTTAATAACTCATTTTAAATTTTTATTTTTTTGTTCAACTATTTTTTATTTTGATTTACTTGATATTTTAATGATATTCATAAATTTCATTATGTATTATTAATTTATTTATTTTTTTACATTTTATTAACAATTTATTCTTATGTGTTTATGTGTTTTACTTCTATATTTTCAACTATAACTTAAAGAAATCTATAATTGAGTCAGGCTCTGGAGGAAAAAAAATTTGACTGACATTAAACTGTATATAATTATAATTTATTCAAAAGCATTGTCTGACTGAATATATATTGCTGTAATTTTGTTTGTAGGAGCAAGGAACCTTTGGCTCTGAACGAATTCCATAATGTGTATTTGACCCGAAACGTAAAAGATGGTATGATGGTTATTGATAATGGTCCATCTGTATCAGGATCATCTAAGGTACTTCCATCCTTTGAGTGATAAATAATGCGAATTTGAGGATAATATCATTTTATACGTAATTAGTTTTTTTAAGCTGGGCAATCGCTGCATCGTATGAGGACTGAAACTCGGCTCCCTGAGAGCGCTATATGGCACGACGCTGATTGTCGGTGGCAGTCTGAATGGATCGTCATTAAAAATGATCCATTGTGCGTACGTTGTGGCGTTGTATCCTTTTTAAAATCACGTCGGCCGATGACCATCGCCCGCAGTAAGCACCCACCTATACATGGCATTACCTGCACATTTCCATAGAGAAACCAGCTGGGCACACACCGATTCATTAGCCGATAGACAGCCAACGATTTATCCGCTCTTTTTAACGCTTGACGATACTCCAAGTATTGAATCAGGTTGGGATTCAATATTTCAACATTCATTTTGTCATCATCAGGAATGATGTATTGTATTCACTTGTTTATGTTTTCGACTGAATAATGAATGAAGGAAGGAATGAATGAATGAAGGAACAATTTTCTTAAAATACATGATGATGATTCCTGATGATGACATAATTAATGTCGAAATATTGAATCCCAACACGATGGCGTGCATTTCAATACTTGGAGTATGTATTATACTTTTTTATTAAGATGTTGTATATCAGTTTTTCTTAGTTCGATAACTAATATAATGCAAGCTTTTGTGTTTTTAGTACATTTTGATGGTAAATTATTAGGTTTTAAAATGCCTATTCCAGAAAGCCTATTCTAAACCATTAAGATTATGATGTCATTCAGGCGTAATGAACAGTAACCAACGTCTGGATGACATCAAAGGGCGCCACCTTGTGTTGTGAAGACATGACGGTTGTACTCTATATTGTTGATAGCAGACTGAGCGTATTGTCATTAAAAATGATCCTTAAATTAATTTGTTCTTTTTGGCTCAGCATAGACATGACATGATTGGATTGAGGTTTTTTCCATCTCTATAGGGATCTCAAAGGCAGTTGAATCTGGTTGGGAATTTGTTCATTGGGGGAAGTAAAGATTTCCAATTTGCAACAAGAGCAGGAATCACTACAGGCTTTACAGGTGCTATCAAAAAGGTAACTAAATATATGGATAATAGATTGCATCTTCACTGCAACGACTGTTTGTATATGTTCAAAAATTCTAGACCAGACTAACATGCCTGAGAGCCAAAGTGTTTTGGACATTATTGTTAAACCCTGCCAACCTAGGTTATTATTATCTCACTTAATTGTAATTTCTCTCAATTTCTTTTATATTCACTTGTTTATGTTTTCGACTGAATAATGAATGAAGGAAGGAATGAATGAATGAAAGAACAATTTTCTTAAAATACATGAGACTCGCCATCCCAAAACCAGCGTTCTGTCGCTAAATATTATATTGAGTAATTACCATACGAATGTGACAGTATTGTATACTTTATTACAGAAAATTAGTAATACTTTTATCATAACTTTGGCAATAGTAAGTCGATTCCAGTAAATACTATTTTAAACAAAATTCAATTTTCTAGTTTTAGTGACTGATGCTAATTTTGGCCACATACACATTTCAGAACCTGTTCTTATACATAGTAGTAGTTTACTAATTTGTTTATTTGCCATTACAAGTTTGTAAACTGAATGATTTATTTAATATAATTTTGCGATGTTAGTGCTAAGTCAAAATTGTGACGTCACACATTAAAAGAATAAACAGGAATTCAAACTATGCTAGCGCTTAAATCACTACAATGCCTTCACAGTAAAGTAGTTATGACATTTGCCATGTATTGCAAAAAGGTCCTGGGTTCAAGTCCCGGAATAGGATATTTTTTTTTTTTCTTTCCTTGTCTGATTACTCTCATGTTTCAGTATTATTCATTGCATTACCCACTTACTGTTTCTGGGTTTTTCCTATATTCCTATAAACCATTTATACATTTTAATTTCAGTTAATGATTGGAGGAGAAATGATTGATAATTTAATAGAGGGTGCACTGAATGTTGTTGAAGTTACTAATTATCAAGATGATGTGTGCAGTATGTCGCCATGCATGGACGGGTACGTCTGCATCAAGAACGGAACAACTTACGCCTGTGTATGCCCAGATGGTAAATTTGACACTGAGAATGGCTGTGCATCTGTCATAGGTAAGATGGAATCCTAGCCAACGGACGTTGAACAAAAATTTGGTTGAAATGCCTAAACGGTTCATTTTTTTCTGTGGCCATAAATAGATCTGAAGCTTTTTCCGTATAGCCATGATGTACCTATATATGGTCATGATTTGATGTCATCATGACCATATTTAGGCTTGTTACATGTTATTGTTAAATAAAATGCCATTTTGGAATGTACATTTTTTAGTTTGTGGCATGATTTTTTTATGTGCTTAATTTTGTACAAAAGTTTTGATGTTGCCCCTTTTTTTTATGTATTTGTAGATCCAGGCATGGATACAACCATCGCACCACAAACCACAGAGGTTTCAGATAAAAATAATGTGAAACTTGATGGAAATGTACTTCTAACATACCCTTCAGGAGGCCAAAGAAGGTAACTATAAAATCTTAAATAAAACATGCAGATGAGAACCCAATTACAGTGGAACCACTAGTAAGGGGGCCACCTTTGGGACCAAAAAAAGTGTTTCCTTCAGGGGTGGTGCCAGCGGGGACACCGGGGGGGCCAGGGACTTTGTCGGGGAGAGCTTGGGAGGGGGGTCCTCGTCAGAGAAAAAAAAACCACAATTCGTCAGGGAGAAAAAAATTGTATGTATTTTCTACATATTGGTACACTCTAAAATTGATTAAATAAGCCTTTGAAATTGTCAAAATTTTCAGACCACTTTCGAAACATTTTAAGCGACGCTCGACCACGCCCACTTTGCACTCATCGGGGAAATCTTCCCCCTCGTCTGGGGAATCGACCGACCTCGGACCCCGTGTCGGGCGAATCCTGGCATTACCCCTGGTTCACTTAATAGGGGTTGTTGGTCGTAGTGTTAAAAGATACATTAACCTCACCTTATGACCAAATAGTGTGTCCCCTTAGGGGTGTCCCCTTTACAGGGATGTTCCCCTTTATAGGGGTGTCCTTTTATAAGGGTGTCCCTTGGTAGGGGTTCTACTGTATGAGTAATTCCGTTTTTGTATATTGTCACAAACTGAACAACAAATTTCTTATTGTATATAAACATGACAACAGTGGTTAAATTCAATATGCTATAAAACAGAAATATTCTTAATTATTGCAGACTATTAAATTAATATTAAATTGATTTTAGAAATATTTATTTTAAAATCAACTAAATAAAAACAAACTAAGAAGAAGGTGTTCTCCATTTTATCGGAAGCATTGATAAATAATTTTTGGATTTGGATTTTTTTATATTTTTTATTTAAGATATGTTTTTATTCAGAACTTGCTTTGCTAGTTATGAAGGTCTTTAAAATATACTTTTCAGTTTATCTATATCTTCAAATCGTTTTTCATTAATCTTTGATCGATTTTATGTGGTTCTTGGGTTGGTTTTCTTTTGTGGAATTTATACCTACAATATTATGCACTTGTAAATTGCAGTTCCCCCAATTGTAGTCCCGGCCCCCCCGGACCCGGGCCTAGCGGGGACTTAGCTGGGGATGTAATTTCCAAAACAGTTACATGCATGTGAAAGTCCCGGCACCGTTTTGAAGTACATCCCCTGCTAAGTCCCTGCCACTTACCACTGTATAGTCCCGGCAAAATGCCCCTCTAATAAATGATTGAATGATAAGACCTACTTGAATGTCTAGCCTAGGTCTGAATTGGAGAAGCATGTGAGAACTAGGCAGGAGCGAGGAGATTAGCTTGCTTGATGGAAGCACTACTCATGCGTATCACTAAACAGATTTTATTGATTGATTGATTTAACTGATTGATAGAATTTAATTATTCAACATCAAAATAAGAATTAGGCATAAATAAGAAAATGATTACATGTAGTATAAAAACAGGTTTCCTTGCCTCGGCTCATGTACTGGCGTATTTTTGATAAACTAGGTCAAATTCATGGTTCACAAATTTTCACTCAACACATTCACAGGAGCCACCACCTCGGTCCTCAGCGTTGTGTGGTTGGAGGTTCAAATTTTATTATGTAATTTATACCATGATCTATAAAAAATGAAACCATGATGGTAGGCCTAAATTATAAAATTTTTTTTATTACCAACACAGTAATTGCTGACTGAATGCCTAGGCCTAGGCCCCCTAGACCTATACATCCGAAACCGCAGCTAACATGTAAAATTTCCGGACCTTCCCAGGCCTGTTACATCTATGGGTAAATTTTAGGTACCTCTCGGCACTACGGGTACACAACTATGTGTACGTCCCCGGCTCAGTCACGGCTAGTGCCCCGCTATGGTCCGGGGGGGGGGGGCAGGACTCAATTGACAAGTGCATTAGGCTGGCATGAACTGTTCACAAAAGATAGATGTTTTCTATAAATTGTGTCATGTAAAAAATGATCATTATGAATTTTGTTATAGATACATAGACAGTGGAGCCATCCCTAGTAATTTACTAATGAGAGCCCCTAGTAAAGTGGGCAAATTTAAGACAAGTTATTACAGACCTGTACGGTAATACAAGTACTATTTATATGACAAAATTTACACAGTTTCTGTTCCATCAAAAAAATGCTTATTCTACACCATGGAAATATATTCCATGATCCATCCATGAATCCAAAAACATTCTACACAGAAAGATCATTATATCTTAAGTCATGTTTTTTAAGGGGAAAAGATCTGAGTAAATATTTGATATAATTGTTCATATTCAATTTACTTTTACAGAAAATATATTTCATGCTCCATCTATGAATCCACAAAAGCTCTACACAGAAATCATTATATCTAAAATCATGCTTTTTAAAGTGGAAACAACCAGATAAATATTTTATGAAATTGTTCATATTGAAGTTACAATAGGTCTACAGTACTCACAAATCCTAGGCCTACTCTGAATGATTGAAATCTGTGTTTTAAGACATTCCTATACATTTTTAAATCGTGTGTGTAATCATATCCAAATTCATTTTTTCACATGCAATGCATTAATATTTCTGCTTTCAAAATTTAAAAACATATTTTTTATTCAGGAACATCAATCATGAATAGATAAGTTGTAGTCTATATTTTGGAGATGCATTTATTCTATTCTAGGGTTCAGAGGTCAAAACTTATTTTTTAAACATAGCCTGTAATTTTACTTTAAGCTAAGCTTATGTCATCCTAGTGACTTGACTTAACTCCACTGATCTTTGGCAACTGGCAGCTAGCAGCTGTGATTTCTATCATTTTTTTGTAACATGAGCACTTCTTGCGACCTAATGTGACTAAAAATCATGTGTGCTAAGTTCTCCTCGAACTAGTAGTCTACAGTCGGAAGGGATAGCCTTCTGGGAAACTAGTCATTCGAAGTTGTGTGCGATAGTGGGTAAATTTGACATGGGTTCAGTCAAGTCAACTGTTGATATAACCGTAGCTTTAGGATGTTTATGATATGTCCAATGACGATAAAACAACATTTTTTAATTGCAGTGGCTTGTTATAATAATGCTTGAAAATGTATAATGGTGTTATAGTGCATGACAAATTTTTTTGTATGGATATACATTGTTTTTAAAACTTAATGTCCAGATCATCAAATTTTCTTTTGATAAAACTGTTGTATGCCTGTACATAGGCATGATGTGCCTAATATGGTCATGATTATGATGTCATCATATATATTTTGATGTCACATGTTTTTGTCAAATTAAATTTGATAGACTGGACAGGGCCTTAGGATTATTGCAATATGCATTGTAAGAGATCTTATATTTGAATATTCAATAATTGCTTGATATCATTTTTATCTCACATATTATGGTATCATATTTCATATATCTTGTACATGAGCATCATTTGATTGTGGCTTTCATACTCATCTTATTTTTGTTCACAGCGGCGAATCAACTGCATCCCTTAGGTATATATATATCAACATGTAACAATTTTATTAAAATGTTTTATAATTGCATGCCTGCATGATTTAAAATATAGTGTTATTAATTTTTTTTTTTTTCTTTTTTTTTGGAATGCTATTTGATATAAACATTGGAAACCAGATTTCCAAATAATTCTAAAAAGCATTGAAAATAGGAGTCAAAACAACCAATGGTCACCTAGTGAGTAAATAAATGTAACAATATGCTATACCAGACAACCCCAGAAAATGAAGGATGTCACAACATATAAACAAGAGAACTTCTCGTCTTTGCATCTTAACATGTTAATTTGGCAGTAACATACAATTTGTTAACATGAGTTTGGACATTTTTGAATTCGAACAGTAATTTTAAAGGCACTACTAATTCCTATTTTTGGTATTAATTGTTACTTTAAAATGAACAAGTTTGAACAATTTTTTTTTTTTTTTAATAGCGCAATAGCGAACAACAACTAATTTAGTTGTCCCTAGTCAAGAGGGTTCCAAATTAGCTAAATGGTTCGCTGCATAAGTTTCAAACCATTGGCCAAAGCCTACTCGCATCTAAGGCTGAAACATGACAATAAGCTACTTTCACAACAACTTTCATAACGATGCCAGCTGGGGTATCAATGCATGGCCGGTCGAGAATGGACAGCATGAGGTTTGAACTCCCGACCTCAAAGTCTGATAATCAAACAGATCACGCTGCGCCAATCCGCCTGCCCTAATAAATAATAATAATAATACGTAAATAATGTCATATTCAATATCTATCCATATCTGACTAGTCTTTAAATCAGTAAACCAAAATTAATTTGATCTTAAAGTATTTTATGCTTTTAATTAAATTAATTAATTTTGAATAAAAAATTTAAAAAAAACACATTGTCTCGTGTCTAGTATGCTTTCTGAAAATTGTTACCTCCTGTTTTATAATGATTTTATGAAAAAAAATTATATTTTTATTAATGTTTTGTTTTTTTTTTTACCTTTTTTTCACTAAAAGCATTTTTACTTTCTGTCTTTGAAGGCAATTGTTGAAATAAATGCTTCATTCATAGATTTTTAACTCATATTTGCTTGAAATATTAAAATCTACATGCTCTATATCTACCATTAAGGTATAGATTTTTTTTTTTCATTGTAGAAACTATCAGCTTTTGGTTGGCTTTATGTCTTTTGATTTGACATATGAGGCTTGCCCTCCTAAAACCAGCATATTATGTCACTATTATGTTAAACTGAGTATAACTTAGAATGTGACAGTTTTGTATACTTGTACAGAGAAATCATAATACTTGCCTCATAACTTTGGCAATTGTAAAGTCAATTCCAGTATAAGACCTCTCATTTTAAATCTTATAATATGGCAAATATGAATATATTATAAAGTCAATTTTCGTTGACGCTGGTTTTTGGGATGCCAAGCCTTAAATATGACAGGAAACCATCCTTATTATTCCTCACTGGCATGTTTGATGTCATATTTCAAATTTTCATTTTTGTTATTTCTTTTCTTTTTCTTGCATGATAGTTTGCGGGGTTTTTTGGGGTTTTTTTTTTTTTTTGGTAGGTGACTGGAATATGGTGGTAATATATGGCATATTTTGACTATGTTTTTGCCTTGTAGAAATTATCTGTGGTTGGTTTTATGTCTCTTGGTTTAACATACTTTCGGAATCTGTTTCTTTTTATTCAACAGCATGTTATCATTATTATCATTTTTCAAATATTCATCTATTTTTTAGTGTGCATGTTACTTTGTTAGATAATGGCTGAAGTATTTAATTAATTATTGTAATAAAATTATAATAATAATAATAGCAAAATATTTTCATGATTTTGCTTGACTATGTTATAATTTGACTCTGTATATAAAAGAAATGTAATTTAGTTGTTATGGTTGCCAATAATTATTTATTATTTGTATTTATTTATATGTTTTTTTGAATTCTTTTGTATATTTATTTATTTATGTATTTATTCATCTATTTTTTAAAGTCTTGATTTTGGTTACTTTGTTAGGTAATTGCTGAATTATTTCATTAATTATAATAATTAAATTATGATAATAATAAAATATTTCATAAATTAGCTTGATTATGTTATGATTTGATTCTGTTTATAAAAAAAATGTAATTTTAGTTGTTATGGTTGCAAATATTAATTTATTATTTTATTCATTTTATGTCCTTTGCTTATTTATTTACTTACTTATTTATTTAAAATAAAACTAATACAAATATATTAATAACTTATGATATTGCCGTAAAATTGTTTTTATTGAAAAAAATAAAAACATATTTTGCAGCTAGGAAAACTCCAAACTAATTGTTAAAACATTTATTTTTATAAAGGGTTAAAGCTGCCAGATCAAGTCAGATAGAGTTGGATGTGAGGACCCACAATGCATCTGGTGTTATTTTATGGAATGGACAAGATAGCGGAAAGAGCGGTGACTTCCTCGCAATTGCTATTATTGACGGGCTACCAGAATTTGCATACAACCTTGGATCAGGTATTTTGCGAATCAAATCTACTATCCCTATCAACGATGGAAAATGGCATAGGATATTTGCAATGAGGCAAGTATTATGATGATTATTATTATTAAAGTCAGGTCTCAGGGAAAAAAATGAGTTGATATGTTGTTCATCTGATTTTTTTGTGTCAAGAAAGGAGCGTTCATGTCGTGGCCCTCTTTCACCACTATACACGAAAATCGTGTTGTCGAGTTTTTAGAACTAAATTGACATGGCTCCACAGAGGCTCGATAAGAAGAAGTCTCATTTTCCTAAGACACAAAAAGGTATTTGATGAAAATCTCTGGAACGGTCAATGAGATACAGATTTATGAATATTTCAAAATCTGTGAGAAAAATGGTGGTTGCGTCCCATTGCACCCCCCCCCCCCAAGTATTTAAACTGCATAAACCTGAACTAGCTATGTATTAAGAGGTAGAGAGGCTACTCTGCTAAGGTCCATTGACCAGGGCCGCCAAGAGTGGAAACTGTAACAGACAGGGGTTGGTATGGGCCCCCAGTTACAAGCGCAAAGCGCGAGAAAGATTGCACACCGAAGGTGCCACCTTTTTTTTTTTTGGAAGGGGGGTGGGGCCCCCCGTCAATCTGGAGGGGACCATTAGGCCTAAAAAAATAAGTTGTTTGTTTGTCCTTTTTTTTAAATAATAAAAAGGGGCAGGTGAAAAAAAGGGGTTTTTTTTTTGTTTTTTTTTATATAGTATCTCATCAGTTGGAATAAAAACAAGCCACAGAGGACTTGAATGGCAATATCTTACATCAGACAATGACTTTAGACTAATTTGTAGGGCATCTCACAAAAAATAAATATTAATTCACTCACTTTTTTTTAATTTGTAAAGAAAACAGCTAAAAAAAGTTTTTTTGTTTTTCTGCCCCTATGTTTTTTCAGTGAGTTTTTTTTTTTGGCCATTGTTGAGGGCCCATGATAGTAATTATGGTTATTTTTTTCAATATTGAAAATAAAATGCTACCTGCAATTTCTATGGACCCCCTGGTAAACTTGGGCCTTTGGGATCTTCCCCCCTTTCCCCCTCTTGGTGGCATTGCATTGACCTGTATATCCCAGCCAAATCAAACTATGCATAAAGGGGTAGGGATCTGTTATCCACTAAGGTACTAGTAATGCACGAATTCCACTCTGTGTGGAGTTAGCAAAAAAGAAGGATGCCTAATCCTATGTAAGGGGACAAAATAAGATAATTAAACTATTGTTAATAATTTTTTTATTTAATTGGTAGGTGTTGAGTAAAGATAAAAATGTAATTTTATAATTATTTAGGAATCTGAGAGAGGGCAGTTTACAGGTGGATGATGGGGAGCCTATTCTTGATACATCAAAGACAGGTGCATCTCAATTAGATACAAATGGATTAATGATATTAGGTAAGTCATAATAAGATTAATTCACCGCAGTTATTTATGTCTGTTACTTTTAAATTTCTCTATTAAATGGTAACACCTTATTTGTTTGTGTAGTCATGGCAACTTCATCATCTTTATCATTTGTCATATTCTGTATATACATACAGTATATGTATAATGTTATTTGGATGAATTGATACTGCCTACAGTATCTCACTCTGCAAGTATTTAAAATTAGCCTCATCTGTATCCCAATTCCAACACAAAACATTCTTATAACGTTCGCTAACGTTATGGTTTGTTATGTGATCACAAAATACCGTTCAAAGTATGTACTTATGGTTCTAAAAATTATGTTTTAAACACCGAACTGTAACATTGTTATAACATTCTTATAACGTAATATTGTTAGCTGGGATTGCTTTTGAATGAAAAGTTTTGATGTAGGCATGCTGTTTCCTGGTAGTTAGTACACAGCACAGGTGCAATTCTGGTGCCCATATACACATCAACGAATTACAAATGTATTGCATTGACGGATTATTTCTTTGTGATTTGTTCCACAGGTGGTATTGAATCTCCTCCCAGTAATGCACCTGCAGACTATAGGAACAGATTTGAAGGATGCGTACGCAACATCCAAATAGTCGGCAACAATCTGAACTTACTAGAGGATGCTATTGGGACCAAACCAACTCAATTCTGTAGTGACAACTAAAGATATAAACTGATTAAAACACAATTATTTGATCTTTTTTTTGATGTATAAAGAGAGCTTGATGCAGGGTATGTGAAGATTATGGCAGATTAACATACCCGGTTGTTACTAAACTAACTACATGCACAGCATTTTACATCAATCGTACAAATCAAGCATCTGGATTATCAAAATTGTTATTGGCAAAAATAAGAGAATTTTGTCCAGCAGATGCATATCTTATTTTAATACCTGCTTAATGTATAGATTGATTTTTCAGCATTAAAAAAAAATAATGAGCAATAATCAATTAAAACATTTTTTAAAGTGTAAAGTTTAAATGATGCCATCAAATGTTACATCACCATCATTGTTTTAACAGTAAATTTAAACAGAAAAATGTAAATTTGTCACCAATATTAATGGGCACTAACATTGATGTTAGCCAAAATAAGTCACGCAAATAATTGCCATCATCATTAGTGTTTACCAATACTTGCAGGATGTTAGCAATATTATTGCCACGAAAATTTATGTTGTTATAATTAATGTTAATCAAATATTGTATATGTCAATATTTATGGCCCAAACATTAATGTTGGCAAAAATAATGCTACCATGTATCAATGTAACTAGAATTAATATCATTTTCAGTTTATTTATTTTTGTTGTGTATATTATAATTGAAATGTTTAATTCTTTGAAGAATTTTACCAGTAATAAAGGGTAGGCTTAGATAAAACTGATTATATAGAATAGTTAGAAAGTAGATGAAATATTATTATCTGTGTTTGTAATATTTGTATCTTATGTTTATAAATAAATATATATAAATTTGTTTAAGCTTTGTAGTTAAGTATGTACAGTTAAAAAGATGGCATTGTCCGATGCATCAATTGGTTGATGACAAACATGAGGTCAACTGATGCCAGAATATGTAATTGCATGTTATATTAATTAAGTGTATTGTTTACTATTCTTTTTTTTTTTAAATTTAACCACATAGACATTCACATAGACGTGTGTGTGTGCGCACACATACATATATATTGACATTTATATTTTGTTAACCTAACTTAATATGCTGCTAGGCTGCAAATTACGGGTTCTGGAGCTGATTCATGTTTAATGTAACAATCAGTATGCTACAAGCATGCTACAGATTTGGTGTTATATTATATGGCTAAGACATACTGCACAACATGAGTCTATAGGCCTACTGGAATTCTGGGTATGGTCATGCAACTCAGTATGGGAATATAACAATCAGATATATGCTACAAGCATGCTACACAGTTGGTGTTAATATGGCTACATACGCCACAACTTGGGTGAGCTATGCAACAAAAATAATGTTAGCTTCTATGCTACAGAATAGAAGAGGCGTGCTGAACATGCTGTAGCAATGCATTTACCACATATTGTTTGCATTAATATTCATGTTTGCCACGCAGCATGGTCATGCTACATGATGGGTATGCTACACTGAATAGGCATGGTACAGAATATGGGTTTGCCACAAAATATTCCCATACAGTAATTTGGGTTTGCTACACCTGGGATGCTGTACTGTACATGCATTTGTTACACAACATTGGTATTCTGCACTAAGTTTACCACAACATATACACAGCTGTAGCATACAGCATGGACATGGCACACAATTGTGGTATGGCAAGCAAAATGGGTTTTTTCCTTATTCAAACAGTTCGGGGTTGCCATATGACATGACCATAATGAATATGCTTAAAGAGCATAGGGTTGCCACAATTTAACGAGTGATGCTACATGATAGATGCAGCCAAATATTAACAACTCAATTTATTATGACATTATCAAACAAAATAGATATAAAATTATGTTGAATACTTTATATTCAGAAACCTACATTATACGCTGCGATAGTCTAGCACTCGAATCCACAAATGTAACAAGCCATCAAGTGTGAAAATGTTTCGCTGTGCCTGGGCTTATTTTTTCATTGGTCATAGTTGGTTTCATTCCTGAGGAAAAAAAATTAATAGTCTCTGCTTTCCTTTTCTTTTTTAAACAACCTGGGCGATCAAGTGATTAATTTATGCCCTTATACCACTGTGTTAGTATAATGAACTTTTACATGGTTTATACTGTTTTCAAAACAATATAGTGAAAATATGTGTATGCATGAAAGTATCAATTCATTCCATATATTATGATTATTGAAATAATAATTAACTTGAAAGAATATGATTGTTTTCATTAAACCAATTTATCAAATGTTTTGATCAGCAAAAAAAATGTTAAATCTATGTTTTTGTACATCAGATTTATTTCACAGTGGTATATAATTGCTTTTCCTTGTTAAAATTTGTATTTATTACGAACTTGGGATCAATTGGCCAAAATGTTTCCTATTTAATTTTAAAAAATCAAAACAAAATTGTCTTTCAATAGGGGCCACAGCTAAATGAGCAAAATGTGCTTTCAGTGTCTGTGATTTCCATTCCTCAGAAACATATAAAACGTGGGGAATATAACATTATTTCTCGTCAGTATTATTACATATAATCATTTAAAATTTATAATTCCCTGGAACAAACTCCATTTCCTCCATGGTAGCACTGGCTAATGAAGCCCACTGTTGTGAACCGTCCCAGCGTTATACAACGATCGGATGACGTCAGTGCGAACAAGACCAGAGCAGTTATTGAAAGATAGCTCTGTCAGTTTATGAACTTTATCCTGTGTTACAAAGTTAATTTTAATTATATGTAATTTATAGAGGAATACAACTGTTATTTAAATTGTACGTAAAATTTATTATAACATATTAAAGATGTATCTGGTATTTAAAGACACAGCATTGGTCATTGTATTTATGCTACTAGGGAGTATTCGATTGCACGACGACAATATATGACCTAGAACGTAATGACGTCACTTAAAAGTCACCTGAGCAGATTTTAGACGGTTGTATGGAGTACGTAAGACGTTCACGGATGAGTGAATCCGTTCTAGCGTTACGTCGTCGTGCAAATCGGAAGCTCCCTTATGAAGGAATTTTAAAACTCTTTTAGGATTACGCGTTTATTATTTTTGTACCAATCATCTATAGCTATTTAATTTATTTCAAAATAGCACTTGGTATCTAGTGGATTCGTTTACAAAATATGTTGTGCCATCTCATTAATGTAGCTTATGTCTAGCATTGTTATTATAATCTTTTTATATAAAATATTTTGTGACTTGTTATTATTTACTTGTCGTTTCTATTCTCACGTCAGCACAAGAACATAAATATTGCATTTTTTTTGGTTCCTATGTTTCTATGTAGCAAATGGGTATGAGCACTATACAAATTTGTATTATTAGGACACATTGCATTGAATCAAGACCGTAGAAAGCTGGTGGTCTGGTTTTGGCCGGACCAATAATTCACCAATCAACAACGTTTGTATGCCAAAATTGTCCTTTTAACGCAATATATGTTTTAAACAAAATTAAAGTAAGCCTATTGCCTGGCAGCACATGCACACCCACAACCACACAGAAAGGATATTTAAAAGTAATACAGTATATGATATTAACTACAAAGCAAGTAAAAAAATAATTTTAAAACAATTGCAACTTTTTTTTGCTTTTCTAACAGTCCTTTCTAAGGAATCATTAAACTTCAGAAACTTATATTAATTTGTACAGACCTGTCGTGTCTTTTCCAAAATATTTTGAGCCTTAGTACACTGTACAATTTGAACACACATTAGATTTCATTGCATACATTTTTAAATACAGTTTTCCCTCCCAATTTGAGAACACCTTTGGGGCCTGAAACTTGCGATGGTCTCGGGATTCAGTCTCCAATTAGAGGGTTAGCTTTTGTGTTAAAAAAATCGATCATTTTTACTTGGTTCCAAAAAAAGTGATCTCGAATTAGATTGGTCTCGAATTAGAGGATGCACTTTTATTATTTCACAACAGACTTACACTGTATTCGCATAAAATTTGTTCCCATTAAAGTACAATTCTAACTTCTCCGCTTAATTGTACAATTTTCAAACCAGGGTACTTGTCTGGGCACACTATAATATGTTCTGGTATAACGTGTTGCAATTTCTTCTTAACCGGTAAGGTGAAGAAAGTATTTATATTTCGGAAGTTTGAAAACACCAGGGCGATCTAAGGGAACAAAACCCTGGACCCTCCATCGGGGAAAAAAAAGAGAACACTATTTTTTACAGTCTCAGTGTCGGGCTCAGGGTACCCTTTTTGGGAATGTAGAGGTGTATAATTTTAAAATTCCCTCACCTCAGCTACAAAAATAGTGTTGCTGGAGTAGGTAAGGAATTTCAGGCGAACACTGCTATAATATAATAGGCCGTGTCCGTCTTTTGGGTAGAGAGAGTGGGAGTTGGGTAGGAGGAAGGAAAGAGGTCTCAAAGCAGTTACAAGGCTTATTGTGCTAGATAATAAAGAAATCCTACTGATCTTGGAACATCAATTAATGCTATTTTGATTGCCAACCCCAAATATATGTGGTCTAAAAGCACATTAGGACCAAATAAACTAATAAAAACTCTCACCATGAATCCTAACAGAAGAAGCGAGCCAAATGGCCGAGCGGTTAACAGGGGCGCCACAAGCAAGAGCCAAAATATCGGCACTGGTTTGAACGGCACGCTTGCCTATGGTTCTGGTGCATAGAACAAGCCTCCTCAGATAAGGACTATATAAACCGTAGGCCCAGTGTATACAGTGGCTCGTGTACACTATAAAAAATAAAACCCAGTACATCCTTTGAGACGAGTAGGGGGATACCCCGGTGTACAGACAGCCCCTGTGGTGGACGACGAGAGTTACCGGGTAGCACAAACACGAAGTGACGAGAAAAGTTTTTGAACGAGTATAGTCCACATATCAAGCACCCTGAGCATCCTATGTTAGATGGATATGTGCGCTATATAAAACTACACTATTATTTTTATTTTTTTTATTCCGGGCCATTGACAGAAGTTTCGTTGTCGCCTTGGTTCGGACCCTTCTGTCGGACACATCGGACCCTTGTAAGCAAATATCTGCCACCACCGCTGCCCCCAATCAAAAAAGGTCTGCTTTTTTGTATGATTATACAAGAACTAGATGACAATGAAATATTCAGATAGATGATTTTACTAAAATCATGTTTGTGATAATGATGGTGATGGTGAGGACGATACTCGTAGGGGTGATGATGATGTCCATGGGGTAGTAGCGATGGTGATGCTGAAAAATAACGATGACGTCGACGATAATGATGAGGATGATGAGATGACGAAAATATGAATACATATAGTGAAATACTGTTAATTACTACAGTACTACTAAATACTAAACATAATACTAATGATGACAAGAGCACTCAGTAGAGAGCATATCTCCGCCTATTGCAAATCCCTTTCTATAAAATAAATCTAAAAAAAAAAATATTTTCCTAATTTAATTCAATCACCACCCCAACTCAATTCGTTCCGCTCTTTAAAAACACAGTAACTCGTCCAAACACTTTTTATTTCAGTGGTGTACTTTTTCCACTTTTAGTCTGGGTTGGGGTTTAGGTTATTGTTGGTTAGGGTTATGTTTATAAGTTTTGTTTATGGTTATTGTTAGGGTTAGGGTAGCTATGGTTAGGTTTAGCGCTGGCTATGTTTAGGGATAGGGTTAGCTATGGTTATCATTAGCTGTGGTTGGTTAGGCTTAGCTATGTTTAGGGTTAGCGTTAGCTATGGTTATGGTTTAATTATGTTTAGGGTTAGCGTTAATTATGGTTTGGGTTAGGGTTAGCTATGATTACTGTTAGCAACCAACTATGTATTTTTTCATACCAGTAAACTCTAAAATCTATTAAAAAAGCCTTTGAAACTTGCAAATTTTAACCACTTTCGAAATATTTTAAACGACGCCCGACCACGCCTACTTTGCTCTCGTCGGTTAGTCCTAACCTCGGGCCTCGTCGGGCAAATCCTTGTGCCACCCCTGCTTCAAAAGCACAATGCACCGTCAAATGAGCGTATAAATGGAATTAAAAAGACCAGTTTTTAAAGCAAAGTGTATATGAGGGATCATTTGATAGCTCAGGCTCCAAAAGAGGTTTCACCACCAAGACTGGTTGGACAATTGACAGTTTTTTTTTTTTGTTTTTTTTAGAAAATCTGCTTGCCGTAAACAGGAAGCATTTAGAGCTGGCTTGAAATCCTCTTCTTATGTGAAAATGTGAAGAAATGAAGAAAAGAAGTAAAAAAAGATGCTTGGTGGCGAAACTTTCTCCACTGCCCCGCAACCCAAGCCTGAAATTGCTGATTGTTAAAGGGAGCATTGCTCTGACCTGCAGAATCACCCTATATACAATAAATATGGATGTAATCAAGGAGGTTTTCATCGGTTCTGCTCATGCCTATCACGGTCTTTAACTATAAATACAAAGGATAACGCGTCTTTCCTGGCCAGGGGCCGTTCTTTGGAACGCCCTTCCGAAGTTTTCCACTCCGAATGGAAAGCGGCGGTTCATGCACGCATTCACATTTCTGTCGGAGTTTTTGCTAGCGAAAAAATTCTCAACCAATCAGAACTCACTAGGCGATTTTATTCTCGCGAATCAAAGCGTCGGTTCACTTTCCAGAGCTGTGATTGGTTGCGCATTTTTCCCTTCGCAAAAAAATCCGATAGGAATGTGAATGCACATGAGCATGAACCGACGTTTTCGATTTGCGCGAATAAATTCGCCTAGTGGAAGACCGGATTAAATCATGTTTTCCACTAGGCGAATTTATTCGCGCGAAACAAATCTTTGGTAATTAGTTGCGCATTTTTTTGCTTCGCTAAAACCCGATAGAAATGCGAGTTTTAAATTATTTCCTCTTCTAGATGACATAGCGCCCTCTAACATGTTATATAAATAGCACTGGGATTCCCCAACAGGAAATGATATGGATTTCCAGGATATCCTAATCTGTACAGTCTACTGCTGAAGACCAAGCTTTACGTTGACGTTAAAGCTGCCCAAGTCATCGAATCATAAATGTAACGGCGAGTGCATCAACAATGACAAGAGGTAGGCAAACGTTATGTCAAACGTGAAGGCTTCCAAGCCTTCGATTGAACTAGGGAGATGTAAAAATAATTATTTTTACACCTCCCTTGAACTATCCTCAGATCTTTTGAAATTCCAGATGTTACAAAAGGTCCGACACCCTCTCATATAGTGCGTACTCTGCCGTTCTGTATGTTCCGTTTATGGTAAATCCAGCAATTTGAATAGGCCTATAGAGCGAGAGGCCGGGAAGAGATTTTCAGACGGGGTCCATATATGCCTCAGCCCCACCATGGCTGGAATTAAAGCCTTGAGGTACGAATGTGATGTCTATGGCACCTCCAGAATCAAGATATCTAGAACTGGCACTTTTAAATTTAAATGCAATCTTCTAGGCCTACGTACATCTTCCCAACAGGAGTGGCATCCTCTTCCCCACCACTCCTCCGGGTAGGAGACTAAAACACAATTTGTGAGGGAAATATACACCATAATTATTCGAATAAACGCACCGCTTTGATTCCACCCTCCCCACCCTCCTCTTCAAGTGAACTCCTCCTCTTGTGCCTGATTTGGAATAAAGGAATAAACGCCTCTCTAGGCGATTATTTTTCCCCAAAGGCGTTTATTTTTTCTGGAATACACGACCTCTAAATAACTGTAAACAAATCTAATGTAACATCATCCTCAACGCATTCGATTAATGTTCCACTTCAGTATAATTACATTTGTTCTAACCTGGTTCGAATCAATAAATATGATCACGCAATAACACATTTTGACAGTAGTGTTGTTGTTATAGCTCCACATTTACAGTGAAAGTAAGGGCCATTTATTTGAGTGTATCGATTACAAAAAAAAAAAAATAATAATAAACGTCTCCCTTTGAATAAATGACCTCTCAAAAACCTTTTTCAACAATAAGCCGTTCTGTATGTTCCGTTTATGGAAATTCCAGCAATTTGAATAGGCCTATAGAGCGAGAGGCCGGGAAGAGATTTTCAGACGGGGTCCATATATGCCTCAGCCCCACCATGGCTGGAATTAAAGCCTTGAGGTACGAATGTGATGTCTATGGCACCTCCAGAATCAAGATATCTAGAACTGGCACTTTTAAATTTAAATGCAATCTTCTAGGCCTACGTACATCTTCCCAACAGGAGTGGCATCCCCTTCCCCACCACTCCTCCGGGTAGGAGACTAAAACACAATTTGTGAGGGAAATATACACCATAATTATTCGAATCAATAAATATGATCACGCAATAACACATTTTGACAGTAGTGTTGTTGTTATAGCTCCACATTTACAGTGAAAGTAAGGGCCATTTATTTGAGTGTATCGATTACAAAAAAAAAGAAATAATAATAAACGTCTCCCTTTGAATAAATGACCTCTCAAAAACCTTTTTCAACAATAAACGGCCCGGTACGTATTTTTCAAATACTAGTAGACTCTAAAATCGACGATATAGGCTATTGATACCCTTAAAATATTCATAGTTTTTGGGGACCAGGATACTTCCGAGACATTTTTGAACAACGCCCGCCCGCCACGATCAATTATGCTATCATAGAAAAGATCGACCCCTGCCTGTTGGGGTCATTTTACCCCCGCCGTAAAATGCGAATTTACAACTACAGTGAAACCACTAAATTTTAGTATAATGAACATACTTTAAATACGGGGAAATAGGATTCTTATGAACATTTATAAACTCATAAAATGGTATTAGGCCTATTTAGAAGATTAGGCTTGCATTTAACTCTGTTTTAACCTGCCAGATGCAGTAAAGACCATAAAAAGCAGAATTAGTAGGAATTTCGATGATGAAACAGGTGGAGGGGAGGGGGGTCGCCCGACATACAGAAAACGTCCAAAGCAAATTACCGTATATACTCGCCGGTCGTTAATACTGGGTCGCCTTATGCCCCTCCCACATTCACGATTTTTGCTACGAGCACGATTTTAAAAAGTTTTAAAATCGCGCTGTATCGTGATTCGTACTCAAAAAGTTCAAGATTTACGTTTCATCAAGGCGCTACTAGGACTTTAGATTTAGATTGAAATTTAAGGTATCCTAATAATCTGCTATAAAACGTACAGAAGCTATGGAATTTCATGCGCTGTGACAATTAACATTATTATTATTACATCTATCGTACTCTACCCGTTCATTACATTCTCGTCGGGGATATCTCCTCCCCATCGGAAACATCTGTTTCCCCCTACTCTCCCTTCGGGCAAATCATGGCGCCACCCCTGCACTCAATATACATTAAAAACGATTCAGGGTGTTAGTCAATCGGTGATACTCGCATTCATATTTGTATATCAGATTTTATCGTCTGTCTTGAATTGCAGACGCATGCTGAGAATCCTGCAAGGTATCTATTGTAAAACGCACAGAAGCTCTTGAATTTGATGCGCTGTAAAAATTAACATTATTATTACATCTACTGTAACCCGTTCATGTTTTACAGGTATAATAGTATGCAGCATTTCCCAGTCACAAACCAGCAACAATGTTGTTGAAATCATTAAACAATTATGTCCCGGAGAGAAAGTTACTTTCCAACTAGCACAAAAGAAAACTCGTTTTGATTGCAGGAAGGTTGTCTTCTGCCATTCCAGTTTAGAAGGTCGCCTGGCATTGACCGACGTCAACGACTCCATCTATGACGATGCCATCGCTCAAGCCAACAAGATAGTTGGTATGGTAATTTCCAAATTAAGTGTATTTCTGATAGAATAAATAAACCTAAATGTTAATACCGGTATATATACACACACACACACACATAACATCTAGATGTGTATAAGAGCCAGGTTTAAGTATAGTAATATAGATATATATAGTTATAATGATAATAGATATTATATATGTATATATATGTATTTTTTATTATTGTTAATTTGTTAATATTAACTTTTATTATTATCATCATCATCATCATCATCATCATCATCGTCGTCGTTATCTTTATCATCATTATCGTTGTGTTTGTAGTCATCAACATCATCATCATTGGCAACGTCGTCGTTTTTAATTTATTATTTTTTCGTTTTTATTTATTATTGTTAAAAATTATGAATATATTTATTATCTTTGTATCATTTTATTTTAATAATAAGTTATAATAATCTTGGATTTAGGCAAAGAAAATGTAACTTTCATTGTTACTAAAGTGCCGGCCGGAGACGCCAAGCTGAGAAGGAGGATGATAACAAATGCACAACCCACGCTGATTTTAAACATTGGAATGCTCCTATTGGTTGACAGTGTTGATGACATCACTCATTTAGACCAGGATAACGTCAATAAACTGAACAAATTTCTAAATAGAACGGCTTATACCACTGATTATACTGGGAATGTAGACTACACCAACAAACAAGAATTGGGACCGGATGATCGTAACGGTGGTCATGTTTCTCCAAATTCTATGTCTGTTACATATTTCCTGCTACTGATAATACTACTTTGTTTAGCCGTTGTTTACAACCAGCAAATAAAGCAAGAGCGTCAGATCAAAGATTTTAGTGAACAAGTGTCTGGACTGATCCTTTTGTTAAATAATTCGATTATTGAGCTTGAGAAAAATGTACAAAGACAAGCAAAAATTATTGAAGATGAAAAGTCATCGATGGAAACAAAGTTGACGGAATACATAAAACACACAGAGAACACACTTCAGATTATAAATGATGCGATGGCGAATATTACCAGGCGAATAATTGTAATTTATGGTGAGCTGCGAAGTAATAAATATAAGCAAAACAAACAGAAAATGCAAGAAAAAATAATCACTACGCAACAATTAGACAAATTAGAAAAAACACAGGAGAATATTAAAATTATGCAAAGCAATACAGATAAACAATTGTTCGAATTAGTCGTTATTTCTGCTGATGCGAAGCAGCTATTACAGAGATCAAAGCAATGCGAAAGTGTTACTAGACCTACACCACAGGTTGACTCATCTAATCGGTCAAAAGGCAACAGTTTTAGCTCGTTTCTAAGCTCTATGTGGAGTTACATTGCTTCAAAGTCTTAGAAATATATATAACAATTGCATAACATAGCAAGACTTGAATTCAATCGCCGTGTGAATGTGATGCCAGGGTAAAATATAACTTGCAAAATGTTATTGATAATTGTAACTTTAAACGAAGATATATACGAAATTAGTGTTGCATATGGGGGAATTACAACAGAATCTCAAAATTTAAGGGAAATATGCATCTCTTTTGTTGCGTATTTGAGCCAAGTAGTTTACCCTTACGTTCCCTCTTCATTCAAAATGAGTATTCAAGTAGGTTTAAATACCGATCATGGTTTTTGCAAAAATTATGAAGTACTCCCAAGGCTGCCGAGTTCATTCCAAATATGTGGTGTTTTCGGGTCACTGGTCCAAATTCATGGAATGGGTACTCACCGTCTTTCTTACATAAGCATCGACTCAACGGGAACTTTTTATTTGAATTCCTACTTTTGTTCTATGCATGCTTCTCTGGTTGACAACAATTGATGTACTGTGGAGTACATTGAACCAACACACCTTAATTTCTCTTAAAGTTAATGCCAGGAACCTAGGACATGTCGTTTATCAAAATGTACTCATTTTTCCAAATATGATAATGAAATTGCAGACACGTCACAATCATTACATTACTTGTAAATGTTGTGTATTTCAATAAGATATATGTAATTTTGTTCATTTTGTTCTGTATGGTGATCCTGGCTTATATATTTATATGTATTGCTTTAAGCTACCGCTTTGTATTGTCTTTTTTATACCCTTTAAAATAAAGAAATAAACAATAAAGTAAAGGTTATTTCTGATAACAATATTAGTAATATTTCGTTGTTATATATATAACATTGTTTTATATATATATATATATATATAAAATTTGATGACCCTCTATCCGTGAAACTCCCTCTTCGGACCCCTCTATTTCAAATTCCTAGATCCGCCACTGTTGATAGGACTAAATGTTATGTCATTATGATATTC